GGCCCTGCACGCCCAGCTTTCAGATGGCCCCACCCGTCTGTCCAGGACTCCCTTGAATCCCTTGCTTGCAGAACTCTGCCCACGGGCCCTGGGACCTCTCCTTCCTGCCCGGGGTGGCACTGCTGGTCCCAGCTTTGCTTCTCTCCCCCACCCGCCCCTCGGGGTGCAGGCTGGGGCTGTGTACCCCTGGTCCTCACACTTTGGAAGCAGGGGACTGTGGGCTCTTTTTACCGGACAAAGCGATGCCTGGGAAGATCAGAGACTGCAGAAAGGTCATTTAGGTTTGATGATCTGTCGCTATCCGCGTGAGCCTATGAAAGCTCAGAACCTTTCCGAGCTACGGCTGGTGATCTGCAAAACGGGTCAGTACTTCCCAAGACTGCCCAGGACCCTGCGCTAAGTCCCAGCACCAGCCTGGCGCCAGCTCCGAGATGCAGCCACTTCAAGCCTGGGCCAGCACTCTGGTGGCAGGGTGACCACCTGGTACCTGAGCCTCCTGAGCCTCCATCGGCCTCCTGAGCCTCCATCGGCATCCGGAGCACCTGCTCTGGGGTCTGCTGGGCTCAGGAGCTCCTAACGCCAGTCCTGGCGAGGAGTCGCTGGTATTCCCAGGTGCGTCGTGACCCGGGGTATCGATGTATCTGAAAAGGGGGAGCAGATGTTCGGAATCCTGCGCAGGTTTCAGCCTCAGGCTTGGCGGCTCAGGCATTCGCAAGTCCCGGGCCTCCCTCCCTCCCTCCCTCCGGGGTCCGGGCCGGGGCCGCGGCGGGCAAGCTGCTACCTGCGCGCGTGCCGGGCATTCCTGCGCCGCGCCCGGCGCCATGGGCCTGATGCCGGCCGCGCGGGCCTCCTCCGGGCGCGGGGGCCGCGCCTGCCCGCCGCCCTGCCGCCTGCCCGCCTGCTGCGCGCCCGCCGCCCCAGGTAGGCGCCCGGCCGGTGCGGCGGCCGCGGGAGGCGGGAGGGGGCTGAGGACGGGCGGCGGGAGCCGCGGCGGGCGCGGGGGAGCCGGTGCCCGCGGACCCCGAGCCGAGCCGCGCCGCGGGGAGCAGAGGCCGAGGCCCGGGCCCGGCGCCTCCTCCCGGTGCGGTCCGCGCAGAGTGGAGCGCGCAGCGCGCAGGGTTTGCGTGGGCGCCTCTGCCGCCACCCAGGGGACCCGGACCCAGACCCAGCGGGACGGCGCCCTGGCTCCCCACCCCGCGCCGGGTTGCGCCCACTTTTGCTCCAGGGCCTCGGACAGGCCGTTGGCCGGGCTTGGAGCTGGCCCCACCTCCGGGGCTCCCTCTGGCAGGAGCCCTGAGATGATGTTTGCCTCCGGGATTCTCTCTCCTGCGCTGACTTCAGCCTGATGGTTGGCGAGGCCTGGATGGGCAGGAAGAGGCAGGGAAGGGTTTTCACAGGGAGGAACTGCCCTGGAGGTCGCTCTGAGCCGCCAGCACCTGGCACAGCCTGGCACGGGCACGGCTGTGAGGGGTGGAAGGTGGGCTTCCAGTGGGTGGGTGGGTGGGTGCAGGGAGAAGGGGAAGGCAGGGGAGAGAGAGAAGGGGTTGCCCAAACTTCGGGGATCTTTGGAGAGAATTTTAGCATTGTTTTTCTCATTGTGTCTTCCTTGACTGGACTTCCACAAAATGTCTCTGCTCAGGATCAGCTGCAAGAGGGAATCCGGCTCCTGGGGGGCCGGGGGTTGGGGTGGGGCAGGCAGAGCCCCACTCAGAAGGTCATGCTTACCAAGCACTGCCTCGGCTGCTGGGGTGTGGTGGGCTGTGCTGGGCCGCTCGCAGCCCCACAGGGTGACAGGGATGACAGAGCCGAGGTCACTCAGCACAGAGCTGGGCCGGCGGCCTTGGCTTGCAGGCGCCCACTCCTGACGGGGTTCCGGGGAGAGGCCGAGGGGCCAGGCTTTGTGAGAGAGCAGCGGGCAGGCAGGGGGCCCGGCTCGGAGCCTCAGCAGGTTCATCGGAGAGGCACCTCGGGTTCTCTCAGGGCTGAGCCGGCGCTTTGTGAGCAGCGTGGGCCGGGACCTCGAGGAACCTGCGTGCGGCTTGGTTTCCAGGATCTGACGAACCTGGAACGGGTTCTTGGCAACACTGTCCCTCCAAGATGTGCCAAGAGGGCTGAGGGAACTCCGTGCAGCCGCTCCGGGCCTGCCAGCTCTGCCAGAGAGACACCGGAGGGGGGCAGGGTGTGTGAAGCAGGCGAGGCCTCTTGGCGAGGGAGCCAGGCTGAGCCTGAGCCCAGGGCACTCCAGGAGGAGGTCATTGGGAAGGATGCCCAGAGGCTAAGCTAAATGAGGCCTCCCCAGGGGCTCCCCAAGGCAGCTCCCTCCAAGGGTGGCGGGTGGGGCCGCTACGTAGGAAGCCTGCTCTATGTGGTGATGCTGACCCCAGGGGTGGGGTCAGCCTCACTCAGCCAGGGGCCAGGGTCAGGTCCTGGGGCAGCTCCTAAAGATGGTGTGATCACCCCCATTTTCTAGGTGGAAAAACTGAGACCCAGTGAAGGGGCCACTCTGCTCCTCAACTGCTTAGCCAGGGGACCAATGCAGAGGGCGGCGTGGAATCCTTGTCTCTATGGCTTTGGCCTTGACCATCATCTTAGCACTTGGAGGGTCTCTGGGGGAGGCGCCTCATTCCCGAGAGCCCCTGAGCTACATGCAGGGTCAGTGCTCACATGGCCACGGTCCTCACAGGGCAGGGCTGCTGTTCGCCCTACCCCTTCAAGCACCATCCCTCAGGCCCACTCGCCAGCTCTGCGGTCATCAGACCCTTACCATGTCTGCCTTTGGGCCTCTGCTCAGTGCCATTTCCCTTCCCGCCAGCGCCTGTGGCGTCCCTTTCCTGGCTCGCAACCCTGTTCAGGGGCGAGGAGAGGGTCAGGAGGCTTCCTGGCCGGTGCTGGTGTGCTGAGGAGATGATTAGAAAGCCGGGTACCACGCATGGTGGGGCTGGCTCAGAGGCAGCTGCCTTCTGCCTGGCCCCGCTGTGCACCCAGAGGCTGGTGGAGGGGGTCGGGCAGGGCCTGGCCTGCCAGTCAGCTTTGAACTTGATCCTGGGCGGTGGTTGTGGGGGAGGTGGGAGGCCACAAAGGGTTCCCAGCAGAGGAGGACTGATAGAATCCCCATGTCCCAAGTCCCATGGGCAGCTCTGAGGCTCTAACACCCACAGGGCTGGGACCCACGTATGAGGGTAACGGAGGTTTGGAGGGCGAGAGGGTCAGGCAGAAACACGTCTTGGGGATGGGGGACAGAGCAAGGTGGCTGGCTCCAGCGGAAGCTGGGTGTAATTACCCAAAGTTTGTGGAGCTCCGGAGGGAACTGAGGAATTGTCTTTCTGCCTCCTTCCCCTGGCGGTGGCCTCCGGCAGCTCAGGGCTGAGAGAGTGGAGCTGAATACATGCCCATTCTTCCCTCGGCGGCCTTGACCTCTGCTCTGAGCCCAGCAGCTCCGGCTAGGGAGAGGGAGGGCCTGTGGGGAACTAGGCAGGCCAGTGTCTTCGCGTCAGCTGCGATGGGCGGCGGGGACGGGACAGTGGTGTGTGAAGGGAACACTGGGACAGCTCGCATGGAGGGGCATCGGAACTGTTCCCACTGCGAATAAGAAGTTCACCAGCGAGAGAGGAACGAGCTAGCCTGGAGGAGCCTGGGCTCCGCGGGGGCCAGGCAGCAGGAAAGTGGGTGGCAGGACAGGACACTCAGTGGTGGGAGAGCCCAGGCGAAGGGACCTGGGCCTGAGCAGACAGCAGGCAGGGAGGGTGCAATGCCAGGCTCGTGCCTCTCCTCAGGGACCCTGTGCTCATGGCAGTTCCCCTGTATGTCCTCTGACTGTTCATTTAAGGTCCTGACCCAGTGCCCGTGGAGACACCGTGGCCCACAGGTTAAAGCAGCAGAGGAGGACGGTGTGGGTTGGGTGTGGCAGGGACCATGGAGAAGGAGCAAGTGCCCAGACTCTCAAAGGGCACAGGTGCCACTGAACTCCACCAGTGCTGCCGTTAGGGAATCGTACGCACACACACACACACACGTCCACATGCACAAACATACATGCACAACAGTCCATGTGCACATGCATGCACACACACTTCTCCCAAAGCTTTGATGGCATTGTCAGGCACACCCCGTGTGAGCACGTTTTCTCGAAGGGTCTGTGGTCACCCCGCAGGCGCTGTGCTGTGTGAGCAGGGTGAGCCTGTCCAGCTGATGTGTCTTGTTTCAGAATCCCCGTGGTGTAATTTGTAATTTTCTGTTTTTCAATAGTAGCCAGCGGGGTGGGGTGGCGGCACCTCGTTGTGGTTTGATTGTGTTTCCTGACGCTCCGGACGGTGGTGTGGTTTTGTTCTCACATGAACGCGCTGTCTGTCCTGCGTGAGCTCTGCCCATGTGCCCGCACTGCTCCCTGGAGTCGGGGCACCAGGCGCGGACTGAGGTCTCTGCTGATAGGTTTCCCATTTGAAGGGAGTGCAAGGCGTGCTGCTAAGGACGTTCTAGAGCAGGACTTTGGTGAACGTAGCATATATATATATATATATATATATATATATATATATATATATTATTGATTTTATACAGAGAGGAAGGGAGATAGAGAGAAATATCAATGAGAAAGAGTCATCGATCAGCTGCCTCTTGCACACCCCCTACTGGGGATATGCCCGAAACCAAGGTACATGCCCTTGACCGGAATCGAACCCGGGACCTTTCAGTCCCCAAACCGACGCTCTATCCACTGAGCCAAACCGGTTTCGGCCGTAGCCTTTTCTTTGTTTAGTGTAAGCCACTCCTCTTTGGACCTTAGTGCTGCATGAATAAGACAATCAATGGAATGCACAGTGTGTCTTCCCTGAGGCCCGCAGAGGCTGGTCCAGGCCCACAGGGCCCCGCTCCCTGTTCCTGGGGCCGGATGCGCCTTGATTTCTAACCCGCTGCCTCAGACCACTGCCTCCCGCTGTCTCGGGAGCCGGCTCTCACCACCGGCCGGCCGCTGGCGTGTGACCGGGCCCTCCCTGTGCCAGGGATCTTCGGGCAGCGCCTGGAGGACACGGTGCACCACGAGCGCAAGTTCGGGCCGCGCCTGGCGCCGCTGCTGGTGGAGCAGTGCGTGGACTTCATCCGGGCGCGCGGGCTCAGCGAGGAGGGGCTCTTCCGCCTGCCCGGCCAGGCCACGCTGGTGCGGGACCTGCAGGACGCCTTTGACTGTGGGGAGAAGCCGCGGTTTGACAGGTGAGCTCCTGGGGCAGGAACGAATGGCCTCCCCTTCCCCGGGGCGGGGCGGGCTGGGGCCAGGACGCCCGGCAGCAGGCTGGGGGCAGGTTGGTTCCGTGTGTGGTTGCGTGTGCGGTCCACCAGCCCCCAGAGCACAGCCCCAGCCCCCGCAGCAGCCCTTGGTCTCCGCCCAGGGACAGTCCTGCCACAGAGCCCGCTGCTCACGTCCATCATCTGCCCGGCCAGGCAGGCAGGGAGGGCCTCCTGCTGATCGGACTGTGGACCCCTGGTCTGTCCCTGGCCCTGCTCCCCGTGGCCCGCAAGCTCCTGCCATGCCAGGATGGAGCGGTCTCTGTGGCCCCCCATCCTCTCAGGTTTCCAGATGGGAGCGGTCGCTCCACCTGTCCAGGCCAGCGCCCACCCTAACCCCTCACTGGGGCTCACCCTCTGGGTGGGGTCAGCCTCACTCAGCCAGGGGCCGAGAACAGAGCGGATGGGCTGTGTGGGTGTCTCCCTCTGAAAGGAACGGCCCATCGGGACAGTTGTTCGTGGGGGGCCCTCTTGCCCTGGCCTCCAGGAGCTCCTGCCCTTTCTCCGTAGATCTGCCTTCATGAGGCGGCCCCCTCGGCCCCAGGATGGGTCCAGGGGCTTCTGCCGGCACCCGGGCCTCCTTGGCCTCCTTTTGGGCGAGACACCCCCGCCCTCCAGCTTCTGCCCAGACCCGTTGCCGAGCCAGCAGGGTCTGTCAGCTCCTTTCTTCAGATGTGGAGCCTGGGACTGGCCGCCGTTCCCCGCAGGGGCCTGCCCTGGAGGCACAGTCCCCTCACCAGGAGCCTCATCTTTATTTTGTTAACCCATTTCCCATTGGTTTTCAGAGAGTGGAAGGGAGGGGGAGAGACAGAGAGAAACATCGATGTGGGAGAGACACATTGATTGGTTGCCGCCTGCACATGCCCTGACTGGGCAACCAGGGTATGTGTCCTTGACCGGCATCGAACCCACAACCCTTCAGCCCATGGGCCAACACTCTAATCACTGAGCCAAAGCGGCGAGGGCTGGAGCTGCATCCTGATTCTCTGAACTTGTGGTCCATTCTGAACCTCTGCCTGCCAGGCCTTGTCCAACCTGTGCCTGTGTGATCCAGGGGATGGGTGGAGACGGCTTTCAATGCTGCCCCTTCCGCGATTCCTGGGACTCAGCCTGGACCTGGGCTCTTTCCTTTCTAGAAACTGCATCTGCACCCCCTGCCACCGTTCTCCCACTTCTCACCCCCTGTGGGTGCTCTGGCCGAGCCAGCGGGGTCTGTCAGCTCCTTTCTTCAGATGTGGAGCATCTGGACCCACCTCCTGTATAGGGCCCCACGCCCCTCCCTCATTCACTCCCGCCTCCCCTAACCAGCCGCTGAGCCAGCCTTCCAGAGAGGCCTCGCCCCCTCGGCACAAACCCTGCTCATGTGCATGACCACGACTCAGCCACAAGGAGCCCAGCAGCCTGGAGCCTGGTCACCAGAGCTGGCCCATACCCAGCCCTCCCCACCCTGGGCCTGGGCGGGGCAGCTCTCCGGGGCCTGCCCCTGCCACCGCCACCCAGTCTGCTTTGAGCCACACCTGCCGACTCCACTGACTCGCCTCAGCCCCTTCTGACTTCACTCCGGGTCCTTTCCTCACCACGGAGTGAGCGCCTGTGGGCACAGGGTGTGGCCAGAACTAGACAGACCAGGTCCTGCCCTCCAGGGGCCAGGGCAGATGGCCAGCAAGCAAACGCAGCCAACACTTTGTTTGCCGAGACGAGGACCAGACGGGATCCCAGAGCCCAGGGCCTGCCCTCCACAGGGCCCCTCAGCCTGGGCAGCTCTGAGCTGGAAGCCGGAGACTGAGGACTGGGATCGGACACATCGGGAGCTGGGGTACTGGGGTGCTAGAGATAGGGTGAGCACAGAAGCACAGGTGTCCATTGTGTGAGCGGAGCCCAGAGGTCAGGGGCAAGGGTCTGACCTCTGACCTGCATGTCCTGGTGGCCAGTGCCCTGGGCCTTGACTCTTTGACATGGCCCTCCTCCTCCAGTGATGCCTCTCTGTCCCTCCCACTCTCTAATGGGGGCAGGTGAGGGATGGGCACGCTCAGGCTTGGCCCCTGGAGGGCAGGACCTTGTGTGTCTAGTTTGTGGCCACACCTTGTGCTCTCCCCCCGCCTCCGAGCAGGGCAGCTCCCAGGTCACCCTGTAAAGGACCCAAAGAAGGGGACTCTTCATGCCCCGGTCCTGTGTGGCTCCTCCCACCCAGCGCAGCCCCTGTGGGAGCAGCTGCGGCTGCAGGGCCTGAGTGCCGGGGAGTCCCACTGCCGTCCTGACGACAGAACCAGACCTGCGGCCAGGGGCTGGGAGCAGGGGCCCGGGCTGTGGGTGTCTGATCTGGACCCCAGTCCCAGGCCACCCAGGCCCTGGAGCACGGCCCCTGGCAGCAGCTGGGCCTTTCCTGGGCCAGGGCCAGTAGTGCAGATGCAGTGTCACCCCTCTCCCCCTTTTGTTGTGCACATGCGCTCACACAAGTGCCTGGGCGTGGAGGGAGCTGCTCCTGGGCGTGTGCGGGCCTCCTGCAGTCCCCGCCCCACACCTCTCGCGTGTCCCCCGGCAGCACCACAGACGTGCACACGGTGGCCTCCCTGCTGAAGCTCTACCTGCGGGAGCTGCCCGAGCCCGTGGTCCCGTTCGCCAGGTACGAGGACTTCCTCAGCTGCGCCCAGCTGCTCACCAAGGACGAGGGGGAGGTTAGTGGCTCCTGAGGATGCGCCCTGGGAGGTGGGCCTGCGGGGTGTGTGTGTGTGTGTGTGTGTGTGTGTGTGTGTGCGTGTGTGTGTGTGGCGGGCGGAGGGCGGGAGGGGAGACAGGAGAACCCTCTGGACAGGCTCCTCTGTCCTGTGTGGGGCGGTCTGCAGGCTCCTGCTGGGGCGGGGCTGGGGCAGCCCCTCTGGGAGGCCCTTCCCGGGGAGGCCTGGGTTTGGGGTGGGGTATGGGGTCATGCTCCGGTCATGCCCCAGGACAGCACACAGTAGGTACAGAGCTAACTTACCTGCACCACCCAGGCGAAACAGCAGACCTTCCCCTGTTCCCCGTTCCACCTGCCCCTTTCCTAATGGACTCCGGGACAGGGGTCCCACCCCTCCTCAGGTGCCTGCCCGGGAGGGCGGATTGCCCTTCCTGTGGCCGTGTGGGAGTGAAGGGTCTTTATCTGGCAAATATTTGTGTCTCGATAAGCACTGGCCCTGACATTCCTTCAGGAGGTCATGGCCTGGCTGCTCCGCACCTGCTCCTGGGAGGGAAGTGGAGGTGGCGGTGCCCTCTGTCACCCAGGGGCCAGATGGCTGGTTGGAGGTCTGGCCTCTGGTGCCTGCCGCCCCTGCCCACCTCCCTCCTCCGTGCCCACCTGCCTCGGTGAGAGAAGGGCCAGCTGCTGGTCTCAGAAATGCTGTTTTTCTCTCCCAATACCAAGGGGACTCTGGAGTTGGCCAAACAAGTGAGCAGCCTTCCCCTGGCCAATTACAACCTGCTCAGTTATATCTGCAAGTAAGTGGCTGGGGCAGGCAGGGGCTGGGCATTCTCCCACCGACATGCTCCCTGGATGTCAGCCAGCGACAGGGACATGGGCGCACTGAGCGGGGGCACACCCAGGGACAGTCTCCGCGGGCAGGCAGCGTTCCGACCCCTGCGAGCCGCACCAAAGACCATTGGAAAGAACGGGGCGTCCCGTTCAGTGTGCTCTCAGTGCCTCTCGCAGCCCCTGCCCGGGAGTCTGCTCCGGACCATGACCCAGCTCAGGCGCTGGGAGAGGGTGCAGGGGGCCCTCACCCAGTCCCGGGCTGGGGCCTGGGCCTCTCAGACCTCCGCCCCCACTGCAGGCGGGACAGCTGTGTCTGCCTTCCATGCTGACGACCACTGGCTTTTGCTTCTGCTGCTCGCACCCTGGGCCCAGGGGACGCTCTGCCCTCCCTGGCGGGCAGGGGTAGCTGGCTGTGCCGGTGCTGGGACATGTGGGCGCGACTGGGTGTGGGCGCTCCCAGCAGAGCTGGTGGCAGGATTTGCTCTTCCCCACTTGGCAGGTTCCTGGATGAGGTTCAGTCCCACTCAGATGTCAATAAGATGAGCGTCCAGAACCTGGCCACCGTGTTCGGACCAAACATACTCCGGCCACAGATCGAAGACCCGGTGACCATCATGGAAGGTAACGGGTGTGAGTGTGGGAGGGTGCCTACGTCCCCGGAGATGTCCCCGCCCATGCCCGCCAGGAGCTCACCGCTGTCTTCCTGGGCACCGGGCCCGCTCTGCCTCTTCCCGCCCCTGTCGGATGGAGCGGGCTGGGTGGCTGTCCAGGGGGCACTCTGGGCAGGGCCCTCTGGGCCTGGATCTGGAGGGTGGCGATGGCACGCTCTTGCTGGGTCCTCTCTTGAGGCACAGCCTGCTTCTGGACTGCAGGCAGAGCCAGGCCCTGGGTCCAAGCCACAGCACTCCTGCCTGGCCTGGGAGCCCGGCCTGGAGAGGCCACAGCCAGCCTCTGTTCCTCTTCCTGGCAGGCACGTCCCTGGTCCAGCACCTGATGACCGTCCTGATCCGCAGTCACAGCCAGCTCTTCAGTGGGAGGGTCCCGGAGGGGCCGGCTGCGGCCCCCGCGGGCCCACCCTGCACCGTGGGCTGGGGCTCGGAGGAGGTTCCGGGAGACAGCCAGGCAGAGCCCGGGGGCCCCCACCTGCCCTCCCTCAGGACCTCATCCCTGGACGGGGCAGCGGTCGCCACGCTCTCCAGAGGCTCCCCCCGGGGCCGCGGGGGCCGCCCGGCCGCCCGGGGCGCTGGGAAGCGGCTGCAGACGCTGCCCGGCTGGAAGGCCTTTCGGCCATCGGGGTCTCGGTCCGGCAGCTCGTCCCCGGAGGCCTCCTCCGGCGGGAACTGGCTGGTGAATGGGCTGTCCTCCCTGCGCGGCCACCGCCGGGCCTCCTCGGGGGACCGGCTCCAGGACGGCGCTGCCCAGAGGCTTTCCACCTACGACAACGTGCCCGCGCCAGGCCCCGGCCCCGGCCCCAGCGAGTGCAGCCTGGCCTGGTCCGGGGGCTCCTCCTGCGGCGCCTCCTCCGGGGGCTCCGTCAGCAGCTGCTCCGCCTGCCGGGCCAGCGACTCCGCCTGCAGCTCCCTGCACCCCGAGGGCACCCCCGAGCCCTCCCCGGCCCCCAGCAGCAGCGAGGAGCTCCGGTCCCCGGACCCGGGCCGCAGCCTGGAGGAGGCGGCCGTCTGCCTCAGCAGCAGCGAGCCCAGCGAGCCCTGCAGCCCGGCCCGCGCCCCCGCGCCCCCCTCCGCGGCTCTCCAGGGCCTGGTGGCCGAGCTGCGGGCGGAGCTGTGCAGGCAGAGGACCCAGCATGAGCTGAGCGTGAGGAGGTGAGGGCTGCGCTGCGGGGTGGGCCTGGGAGCCGGAGCCCTGCCTCTGCTCTGAGGGGAGCCCCTTTCTGGGGGAGCCTGGAGGCTGAGGTCTGTGTCTGGAGCTCCATGGACACTTGCTGAAGAAAGGAGGCCCCCAACTGGAAGGGCTGGCAGGAGGCGGCCCAGGTGTGCTCGCTCACGGGATGCCCCCACGTCATGCAGGCCCGGGCAGCCTGGCCAGGGCTGGGCCTGTAGCCGCTGATCAGAGGGGATGGAATGGGATTTCCCTGAGGGAGGGAGCTGTGCTGTATCTTAATCCCTGCCAGCCCTCCTCCATCCTCCTGCTCTGTGAGGAGGTGTTGCCAACTCAGAGCCAGGAGAGCCAGCCAGGGCACCAGCAGAGCCTGTGCCAGGCGGCATGAGGTGGGCGCTCCCCACAGCGTCCCCAGTCCCCAGTCCAGCTGTTGGGCCTGCAGGCCCTTCCCACCCATGGCCAAGTGGCTCTGGGCTTCCCGCTCCACCGGGGACAGGGGGACGGAGGGAGGGAGAGGTTCCCACGGGGAGCTGCAGAGGCAGCGTGGCCTGTGCCTGGGGAAGCCAGGTCCTGACACCTAGGAGTCAGGCCTGTGAGGGTGTGTCCTTGAGGGTAGATGACAAGAGAAGGGCTTCAGGACAGATGCCCTGAGGTCACGTCTGAGCAGGACTGAGGCTGAGAGGGTGGAGCGAGGAGAAAGCACAGCAGGAGAAAGCCCTGGCACACGCTTGGCAGAAACCCTAGAGGGAAGCGAGTAACTGGCAGCACCGCGGGCAGATGTGCGGCTGTGGGCGGCATGCAGGGAAGCTGGTACAGGCCGGTTGCCCCCACAGCCTCAGGGGTCTGATCAGCTCCTCTCAGGGGCTGGTTTCTCTGGAAACGGTATTGCATCGTGGTGGGGCATCAGACCCTGGGGTGTCCCTGCCGGCCGCAGACTGACAGACAGCATCCAGGGAGGCTCCAGCGCTCCGGGGACCCCATGCATTGCCATGAGGTTGGAGGGACACCCGGGGCAGTGGTCAGTGCAGAGCTGCCACATCCAGTGCTGAGACCGCTCCTGTCCCCACTGCCCGGTGGGCTGGAGGGGAGAGCAGGCCCGCAGGCAGGGCAGCGGCACCGTTCCGCCAGGCCCGGGCCACAGGCGGGTGAGTGAGCAGGGTCTCTGGGTGCAGGAAGGAGTGGGGCGCCATCAGTGGGCCTTTGGAGAGTCTGTGACCCCGGACCTGCGGAGTTAGAGCCAGCTTGGGTGGGGGGCATGGATTCAGCTTTCTGCCCGGTCTTTCCAGGCCCTGATCCCTGCACCCGCAGAAGAGCATCTGATGTGCCACAGTGCTGGGTGCTGGGCACTGGGCACAGCTGTGACCAACACTGATTTCCATCACTGTCCTCATTCTGATGGTGCAGCTGTGGGGCACAGAGAGCCTGTACACAGAGTATAAAGCGCGTGGGCTGTTAGAACCGGGAGGGAGGAGGTGTGGCAGAGGGCTGGGGAGGTGCTCCCGTGAGGGCAGCTGCAGAAGCCAGGGCGCAGAAGGGTTGAAGCTGAGTGGCAGGCAGGGCTAGCGTGGTGGCTTGTTGGAGTATGAGGAGGGGGCAGGGCAGAGGGCAGGACCACGTGGTCAGAGCATGCCTGGATTTTCCACGATTCGGTTCTGAGTGACCGGAGGCCTGGAGCACTGATCACTCGGAGGGGTGCCCTGACTGTTCTCCTGAGGACGCACCCAGGCAGCAGGCCATGGCGTCCATGGCCTCAGGGGCAAGCAGTGAATGGGGAGAAGAGCCAGATGCTGGACATATTGGGGAGTTTTGCTGACCAATCCACTGTAGGGTGAGAAAAACAACTGATTTCAGGGCATTTTTTGGCCAAGTAATCAGAGGAGGTGCTCACTGAGGAGCGGGTGTAGGGACAGTGGGAGCAGACAGGCTCAGCTGCAGGCCCTAAAGTTGGGGACACTTACTTAGTTGGAGTGGAGTCGAGAGACAGAGAGGCTGAGAGCCTGGAGACTGGACAGGTCTCTGGTCAAGTGTCATGGGGGCGGGAGGTGGGGCAGTCAAGTGTGAGGGCCCCGCTGGTGGGAGGCATTGGTGTGAGGGCCTGGGCCTGGAGAAGTGAGGGGCATGGTCTGTGCTGCCTCCTGAGGGCCTTCTCTCTGACAGCATGTCTTGTGCTCCCGTGGGGTCTGGGTGGAGGAGGTTTCCTGCTTGCCCTGTGTGTGTTCGCTGGCTGAGCCGGAAGCACGGGAACTGCAGTGCCAGGAGGTGTCCCTGCCTTCTCCAGAGCGGGCACCAGGGCTCCGGGCTCCGTGTGCCTTGCCCATAGTCATGTGCCTGTGCACAGCCAGGCCAGTCCCGGGCCCGGCTCAGAGCATCCCTCAGGCCTTGCAGGAGCTGCTGGCGTGTGGTTGAGGAGACGGTGTGCCACCTTTGCACGGTGCGTGCCAGCCGTGTAGGAGTGCAAGGTGGTTCTCTGGTGGCACAAAGGGGCAATGTGCGGCCTGCTGGGAGGATCGTGGTGCAGTGTCGGCTGGGGCATGGCGGGGGTGGGGGGGCACAGGAGGAACGGAGGGGACCGAGGTCCTGCTCTCCACCACGGCGTCCATCCCTGGACAAGCAGTGAGTGGAGAGAAGAGCCAGATGGACAGCTGGCTGGCCCAGAGGGTAAGTGGTCTTCACACGAGTGAGGATTCAGGGGGACCCCTGGCCTCGGGTACCCAAGTGCTCCCCGGCGTTTCTGGGTCGGGCTGAGGGCAGTGCTCGGGGTGGGCCTCGTGGCCAGCCCAGCTGCCCTGTGCCCCGCGGCCCGCTGAGCAGCCCTTCCCCACGGGGAGGCAGGTCCGCCTCAGCGCCCCGGGCAAAGCCGGCAGGGCGGAGCCTGAAACAGGCCTTTCTTCTCGATTTTAAGACTCGAGGACGGTACCACCGAGCTCCGGGAACGGATGCTGCGGCTGGAGGAGGAGCTGGACCAGGAGAGGAAGAGGTACACCATGCTGCAGATCAGGCTGCGGAACTCGGAGCGGGCGCGGGAGGACGCCGAGAGGAGGAACCGGCTGCTGCAGGAGGAGATGGAGGAGTTTTTCTCCACCCTGGGCAACCTGACTGCGGGGGCCAGAGGGGCCCCACCGTGAAGGAGCCCCCTGCTCGCCTCCCTCCGCAGCAGCGGGGGGGAGGGGGGGCTGTGAGGAGGCCGAGCCCCGGCCCGTGGACCTCGGCAGTGCCGGCACTCTGCAGCCGCGTGGCGATGGAAGCCGAGCCCCTTGTGCCATCCGGCTGCTGCTGACTGGCAGGTGCCAGAGGCGACAGGCCTATGGCCGCAAAAACAGACGGTGCCTGGGACCCAAGTAGCACACCGGGGGCACTGCCTTCTTTATTAAACCCGCTCTGCAAGTGGATGCCTGACTCCTTCTTTAAGGTCAGCACAGTGGGGTTACTGAGTGATCTCGGTGCTTTACGGGCAGGTGGGGTCCTCACGGTGTCTCTGGTGGAATGCCAGTGGGTGTGAAGCTCCCGAGGAGCCCAGAGTTGCCACAGCTCTGAAGCTGGAGTTCTGCAAGTCTGTGTCCTCAGCTCACCATCCCGTACTCTGGTCAGGGCATGTACGGGGGCGACCACTTCCTCCCTCCTTCTGCTGAGGGCTGGAGCCGCACGGCTGGCCCTGGGCCCAGGAGCCGCTTTCGTCTGCCTGGCCAGCTCCGCTCCAGGGGCTCATGCCTCAGGCTGTGCCCGTCTCCCATGCAAACTCTATCCAGCTCATGCTAATCCTCCCCAGTGCCCATTCACCCTCCTCCAGGTCCTCCTCTGTTCAACGCTCCAATTAGGGCCCTGGCCTGTGTGTTCAGTGGTTAGAGTGCTGGTCCAGGCACCGAAAGATCAAGGGTTCACCTCCTGCCAAGGGCACGTACGTGGCTTACAAGTTTGATCCTTGGCCCTGGTCAGGGCAAGTACGGGAGGCAGTCAATGGACGTGTCTTTCACATCAATGTTTCTCTCTCTCCCTCTCTCCCTCCCACTCTCTCTAAAAAGAGCAATAAAAAAAAAATCTGTTGAGGATTTTTTTTTTTTTAAAAGCCCCAATTAGGACAAATCTTCAAGGAAAGCCTTTCCTTGGCGCCACATGCAGCCTGAGCCTGGCCGGAGCTCGGCGGCAGGGGCACAGGCGGCACCAGAGAAGCCCCTCCAGAGGAGCCCGGGCTGCTGGGGCCCTGGCAAGGCCAGCACAGTGTCTCCTCCACTGCCCGTGTCCTTTCCGGGAGCAGTCACTGCAGTGGTTCTTTTGGAGGGTGGTGAGGAGTGGAGTCACCAAAGTGCTCCGGTTTCTGACTGCTATCTCTGGAGAAGTCTGAGGCCCAGAGCCCACCCCTCAAATCAGGCCTAATGGCACCTCGTGGTGAACATGCGGCCAGAGCTCTGCTGGAGAGCTCTGCCCAGGCCCCTGCCATCCAACCACATTCCCCAGAAGGTGGATAACTCCCCGCCTCTCTGCTTCAAGGAGGAAGGAAATGCGAGGCGACTGCCTGCTCACAGCCGCCCAGGAAGGTAGGAACTGGCCCGCACGCCCCTCTCGGAGGAGGAAGTGGAGTTAAGTGGGGAACCCATGTTTCTGAGCTCCACTGTCCTGGAATTCTGCCAACTCTGACCTGGAGAGAAAATGCCACCAGGATCTTGAAGGAATGGAAAACACCAAAGAGGGTTCATGAATAGAAAGAGAGGCCATCAGTCCTTTCCGTTAATACTGGCAAAGGCAATGGGCTCAGCTGCCCTCCAAGTCCTTTGTCAAAACCAGCTCATAAGCCGCATCTGCCACCTGCTGGCAAAACTAGGATCTGTAAATGAATCTATTAGTCCTTAAAAAAAATAAAAAATCCCATTTACATTGCAACAACAAAAAAATTACTTAGGAAAAACTTAACTATGAAGGTAAAAGACCTTCACTGAGAAAATTATAGGATGTTGAAAAAAGATAGAGGAAGATATAAACAAGTGGAAGAATATGCTGTGTTCATGGATTGATTGGGTAGAATTAACATTATTAAAATGTCCATACTATCCAAGGCAATCTACGAAATCAATGCAATCCTTATTAAAACATCAATGGCATATTTCATAGACCTAGAACAAACTCTCCAAAAATTCACATGGAATAAAAAAAGACCATGAATAGCCTCAGCTATCTTGAGAAAGAACAAAGTTGGAGGGACCACAATACCAGATATCAAGTTATACTACAAAGCCCCTGTAATTAAAATAACCCAATACTGGCACAAGAACAGGCATATAGATCAATGGAACACAACAAAGACCCCAGAAATCAACCCAAGCCATTATACTCAATATTTGACAAAGGAGGCAAGAGCATACAATGGAGTCAAGGCAGTCTTTTCAGTAAATGGTGCTGGGAAAATTGGACAGATACATGCAAAAAATGAAACTAGACCACCAACTTGTACCATACACTAGAATAAACTCAAAGTGGACAAAAGACTGAAATGTAAGTCGTGAAACCATAAAAATCCTTGAAGAAAACATGGGCAACACAATATCAGATACTTCATGCAGCTGAGTTTTCACAGATATATCTCTTAAAGCAAGAGAAACAAAAGAAAATAATGAGACTACATCAAACTAAAAAGCTTCTGCACAGCAAATGAAACCAGCATCAAAATAAAAAAAGAACCCACTGTATGAGAGAACATATTTGCCAATGATACATCTGACAAGTGGTTAATTTCCAAAATATATAAAGTACTCATACAACTCAACAAAATGAAAAGAAAAAAATCCAATTAAAAAGTGGACAGAGGACCTTAATAGACACTTCTCTAAAGAGGACACACAGGTGGCCAAGAGACATATGAAAAGATGTTCAACAACACTAATTATCAGAGGGGTGCAAATTAAAATGATAGTGAGATATCGCCTCACACCTGTCAAAATGGCTACCACCAATAAATCAACAAATGACAAGTGCTGGTGAGAATGTGGATAGAAGGGAGTCCTAGTGCACGGCTGGTGGGAATGCAGACTGGTGCAGCCATTATGGAAAACAGTGTGTAGTTTCCTCAAAATATTAAAAGTGGAACTGCCTTATGACCCAGGAATATATCCTAAGAAGCCTGACTCACCAACCAGAAAGAAAGTATGCACCCCTATGTTCATAGCAGCACAATTTACAATAGCTAAGATCTGGAATCAGCCCAGGTGCCCATCAGTAGAGGAGTGGATAAAAAGCTGTGGTACATTTACACCATGGAATACTATGCAGTAGTAAAAAAATAAAAAAGAAATTAAAAAAAGAACATCTTACGCTTTGAGACAGCATGGAGGGACCTGGAGAGTAGTAGTGTTAGGTGAAATAAGCCAGTCAGAGAGAGACACGTATACATGATCTCACTCACAGGGGGAACCTAATGAACAAAATAAACTGATGAACAAAATAGAACCAGAGACATTAAAGCACAGACCACACTGTGGAATCTCAGAGGGAAGGAGGGAGGGTGAGCAGGAGGAGATTAACCAAAGAACTTGGGTGGAGGGGTCAAGTGGGGGCGGGGGGGAGGGGAGAGGAACAGGGGATATGTGTAATATTTTCACCAATAAATTAAAAAACAAAATAAAATTCAAGTCATCTTTATAAAATACATGAAGTCAGCCATTTCAGTAGCCCCGGGAGACTGTTGCCCACCCTCTTCATCTGACAGTCAGCAGCCCTGGCTCTGCGAGGCGGACTTGCCCCCGAGCTCAGGCTGGCCTGGGTCTGCAGGCATCACAGATCCACCCTCTGGGGCCTGTCTGGCCAGGGCTTTTAGTTCTCCTCACTCAGCCTTCCCGTTTCTCTCAGGACAGTGTGATTCTTTATTCTGCATCTCCAGCCCATGTGTCAGCTTTTCATCCTGCCTCAGGGCCACTCAACCCTCAGCAATCCGAGCTGTGCCCCACGTGCAGGGAGCGCTGTCTCACACTGTGACACCCAACAGGAGTCCCCTCCCTTTCCTGTCAGCAACTGACACTGCAGGGGCCAGACCTCAAGAGGGAAGAGCTGAGAGGCAGGAGTAGGCTCTGGGCTAGGACTGCTCTCCCAGCTGCCCGAGATGTGCAGTGTGCCCACACAGACTTCTCACGGGTCTGAATTCCGAAAGGACGTCGGAAGCATTCTTCCCGCACAAATTCTCCTTGCGGCCCAGTCACCAGGGCCAGCACCTCCTGCAGCCCGCTAACTTTTGAGTGCCCATTCCCGGGGAGAAGGACCCGCTGTCAGCTGGGACCTGAGGCTTCCCTGTCACCACCTTCCCCGCCTTGGGTCCAGCCCATCTGGCGTCCCTTGCCTGGACCCTCCCAAACAGAGGTCTGCACAGAGCACTCCTCATTCTTAGGAACTACAAGCTCCTATACCTTTAAATGAAGACAATGCCTCCAAAACGGTTCATTCATTGTCACTCAGGCTCATGCGAGGCGTCCCTCTCCTCACTGCGCAGGTCTAGGGCATGAGCGCACTGACGGAATTAAATGTTAGACAGAAACCTAACGTTTACAAAGTGTATTTGAAGTAACTTTTAAGTTTAAAATAAAGTCCAGACACACATTGGTATATTCCTTGTAAAAGCTAAAGTGTGTAAAGCACAAACCAGTACAATTTTCATTCCCATAGAGCCAACGGGCCTTCTCAGAACAACACTAAGCTAATGCAGCCCTGGGGATGGGACCAGTTCCTCCTGCACTTCCTCCAAGCTTCCCCTAGGGCTTGGCAATGACTGCTGTGGCCCAGCGCTCAGCCTCCTGGACAGTGAGCTCCCCACAGGGTGCCGTCTGCCTGGACTCAGAGCAGAGGCGCGAGTGCAGGGGAGGGGCAGCATGGATACAGGATCATCTGAGCAAGAGCTGAGTGAGATGGAATGTCAACTCCCAGGCTGGACACAGGCTGGTGAGCCGCTAAGCAGCCTGCCCGATGTCAGCAGTGGGAAGGTACAGGCCAAGCCGAAGCACCTGGTTTGTCTGGAAAGATATGCTTTTTAAGGACTTGTTTTCACTAAGTGGCCACAATGGCTGTTCTCTCGCATGCTTACCAAGAACTAGGTTAAGGGTATTGAAGCAACTTCCCTTAATGAAGTTTCTGCAGTGATTTCAAACACCAGAAAAGCAAGACCAGATAAACCAGGAAACCAGGGCCTGGGTTAGGCTCCTCTGTCTACACAGAGCCTGAACCTAGAAAACCTGCTGCAGTGCTACCCTTCATCCCCACCTGCATGAGGTTAAAACTGCCCGGAGACTTTTTAGCAAAACTTCAGATAATTTTCAATGAAAACACTTAATTTCATCATGTTCATACCACTTTTTCTTTTTTATTTAAAATATTATAACCAATGAACATACTAGATAACATTGTCTACATCCAGTGGTGCATGTTTAATGACTAGGGCATGAATGATTAAAAACCACACAATGATCTCAGCATTCCCTACAAAGTGCCCCATTTGTTTGTCTAGAGGAGGGAACGGGACCGGGGGAGGAACGAGGAGTGGCGTCGTCGTCCAGGGAGAACGCAAATGGCAGTTACCATATCTGGGTTTCAGGTGGTAACACCTGCTTAACAGGATAAACTGTAATGAGAAAATAGATGTCACAGTCCAGGTAGACAACTAGTTCAATTTAAATTCATCATTCGGCTAAAAGTTTAAGAGCTTCTCAAAAATATACCAAATATCGGGCCTACAAAAGTAATTTATTTCTTCGTAAAGTTTAGACTTAGTCCTTTTGTAAAATGTAAAGGATGGACTGATGTCACGAGCAGGTTTCTACTTGCAAAACAGACAATAACAACGGCCAACAAGCACACCTAACGATTTTGAAGCTACACAGCAGGAGGGCTGACGCGGAGTCTCTTACTGATGCCAGTATGTAGTTCACATACTCACTGGTGCTGTGTCAACACTGACCATGAAGTATTTAACACACGCTCATACTCACACCCAGTAAAGAGCTAACAGCAAGGGCTACGGCTTACTTGGGAAAGCATAGAAAATTAGTGTGAGGTAGTTCAATACAAACCTAATTTGTACGTTATTGTGAGAATAAAACATTGTGCAAAACTAATCCATAGGTAACAGTTCTTAAAAGTTTCAGTAATGAAGAGAATCTAAACCAGAAATGACCAAAAAGTGTTACTCTTACTAGACTCTCCTAAGAGCACTTAACTAAGAGCAGTTAGTTTGAAATTAAGACTTGTGTTCCTTATGAGTTTTCTAATCATACCCCAAACTATACATTTCTGCTTCAATGCCTTTTACCCTTCATCATTCTTGCTATTAGGAAAACTAGTTTTCCCCGATCCAGAAAAAGTCTAAGAGAGATGAGTAGCAACACACTATAGTAACATGTAAAGGACGAGAGTTAACATTGAAGAGGCTGCTAATGACAGGATGGTGGTTTGTCTTCTCCCCGTGGGAGTTTACTGGAACCTGGGGCTTCATGCGGTCATCCTACTGCTAATGCAACCAACGGACACTCACGAACTACAACCGTATTTCTAAAAACAGACTATGCTTTCACCTCAGTGTGTGCAGGCTTTGCCTGGGCCACAGAGTGGCTGGTGTGACCATGCTATCTGTATCCCCCTGGCCTGCTGCCTACTTCGCTCCGACACTTTCAGACAGCACGGCTGGATGAGCACGGAGGGAAGCTGGCTGTCTTACACACACCACTTCTCTGGGCGGTCAGGAGCTACATGGCGGCTTCATTTCTCTGGGGAAGTCTGGTGTGATGTGTGTGCTCTACCCACCAGGGGGAGTGCGTGCCAGGAACCACAGGCACCGAGGGTGCGCGGCAAAGTGAGAACCGCTCAGCTAACAGTAGGAACGGGCTGAGATGCTAGATGTATGTATAGGGTAGGCGAGCAATCCGAACAATTACTTTACAAATGATCAATACACATTAGAGGATAACAGAATAGTAAGCCGGGAGAAATATGTAGAGAAAATTAGAATTAGTGTCTCTTTCCTAACCTATGAAGTTGAGTAATAGATCTTGGTCAAAAACTCGGACAGTAAGAAGATGGTACAGTAAGTGTATAAAATTGAAAAAACAAAGTTGAAGTAAGCAAATTTTAAATAAGCACTGCTGGAAAGAAATCTTATTTGTAATTTCTGTTAAAAAAAACAGACACAAATGATTAAGATATTTTAAAGGTTCAAAAAATTTTAAAAATAAAATGAACGTATGTCTTTAGCTTAACAAATTTAAGAGGGTATGCTGTATTTAGATAGTGCATTTTAAAAACCTAGGCACACACATTTAACAGACTTTGTTTTCAAGAAAGAATTTAAGCTTTTTTGTCTCCATTAACTAATGAGTTCATTTTCTCTGTATCAACTGAAACATGCTGGTTGGCAAGTGGGAGCTGGCATTTACAACAAATGATACAGAAACAACACCTGGTTTTCTTGCTTAACCAACATCTGTATCAATAGAGATGGCTTGTTATAATCAAACCTAAACTATGGGGAGCTTCTGAAAGCATGTCAGTTGTTAAAGTGCAATAGTGAAATGGTCTACCCTAGAAAACAGAGCTAGTTTACTGTCAAACTCATATACACAAAGGACACACTCATGCTTAAACATCTCCGCACATCCAATCTGTTTCTACAAGTCAAGGTGTTACAGTCTCAAAACTCTAAGTTGCTAAATGAAATTAATGCACCATGTTGTATGAGTAGAAAAGGGACTGATAAAAGGTTGACAACTTCTAGAGACTGGAAATCACGACTTTAAACCATAAAAAACAAACTTGCTATTTCAAAGTATATAAAAAGGCTAATGTATTTTAATCCTAAATATTGCACAGTAACAATGATCACTCAAAGGGATTTTGCACTAAATATACAAATAACATGCCAGGCGAGCTTTGAGACCTGCGTTGAGCTGCACCAGTGCTTGCTCCTGTTGGTCACTAACTCCAATGAGCTTTCTGCTAGAGTCTTGCCATGTATCTAAGTGTGCACTTCTTAGTTTATGACATGAAATCCCTCTGCTCCAAACATAATAAAGGTCCTGGGGCATCACAGACAATGCATTCAGAGATGAGACTTCAATGACATTTTACTTAAGAAAAATCCCGCCGTAGAGAAATAATTCTGCAGATATAAAATGTAAACAGTTACATCACTTGTCAGGAGCAGCACCATTCTTACACTACTCAACATCCACATTGCGGTTTTACTGAAAATCAGATAATAAAAAATCAAAGTCTCAGACTAAATAATCACCATTTATGCCTGCTCTGCTCAGTGTGGAGAAACAGTCCTTGGGAAATGATACCTTATATATGGCTGTGTGCTACTATTTTCAGATGAACGGTGTATTGCTCCTTGGATGCATCACCTACAGAAATCTTAGTAGGCTTTGGAACCTCCTGACAGCTAGTACAGACGTGATTATGCTACAGGTAGAATCAAATGGCCAGAAGCACCCGGGCCGATGCTCGACTGACGGCCACTCCAGCAGGAAACCGGGAGGTCCACAGCCTCCGCTGCGAGAGGAAGGACCAGCTCCAGACCATCCATCACTGGGCCTGCGGCCTGAGGAGCTCAGCTCAGTGTGTACAAGAGCAGGCTCCCAGCAGGAGAGGTGGACCATCTGCTTATCTGCAGTGAAATGTGTTACTCATGAAGTATCCTTTTGGCTTTATGTAGTGAGGTCTGAGCATGCCACAGACTTGCAGGAAACACCATATTCTTTTCACTTGACTTTTGTTCGGTGCGGGGAGAGGGAGTAGAAGGGTGGTGGTGGACGCCCAGCATTTTCAAAAACATGCTGAGTTATTCTGCCATTTAGATGATGGGGCTTTTACCGAAATTCATGTAGGATTACTACCAATAGTTGTAACTAAATTAGGATTGGCAAGTAGCAATATTGGAGGTTTTTGTTTTTTTCTTAACACGTTCATCATTTACAGTAGTTATTCCTGAATATAACTGGCTACAGGTTACTTTCCCTCACTCCTCTGTGGTTATTTCATTGATAAGCACATAACCCTGAAGGATAGCATCATGAACAAAACATTTGAAATAATTTCTAATTAAAAAAAAAACTATAAAAATCTTAAATAATTCATGATATAGGCAAGTCACCACATAATAGTTGCTTTGATAAACAAAATCTTATAAATTCAGTAAAAAAATCAGCAGCATAAGATAAAGCAAATATGCAAAAAATTTAAACCATGATAAAATAATTAGGTTTACATTATACAGTTAATTACAGCAAAAATACAATACAGTTTTGTTGCTGTTTTAAAACAACTTAGGTTTTAAATTACATCACTTGAAATTAAAAAAAATAAACTACTTTACTACAAAATGAATTCTACATTTTTGAAAAATCACTCAAAATAAGACCACTGACTTAGTTCTCAAAGTAGTTCTATCAATGACTAAACAACTCCCCCTCCCTTCCCTCCCACCCCCCAGGCCCAAGTAGTCATCTGCAGCAGCCCAGAGGTCCAGCTGATGCTTCTAGACTGCTGTCGGTATCTGAGGCCAAAGTTGGATCTGTTGACATTGAAGATACATCGTTGACAGACGGCGATGACGATGGATGCTGAGAGCCATTGATCACTGCTGCACCTGTGCTATGAGAAACAAAACAGCAAATCAGTTGCAGACAGAGTTGCAGACCTGGTCACTTATACTATATTGGCCACCTCCAGTGGTCAATGACTTTTCTCTTGGCTTTAAATGGCCCACTAAAAATAATCACAAGTGAAATTCAGAACAACACTAATTTATGAACCCTATTCATTACAATTTGTGAGGTGAGAACTGAACATGTCTTAAACTCAGTGTCCTGTCCTTTCCACAAACTTGTTTTCAATACAAGATAAGAATTGTTAAGTCCAAGACACACTTAGAAATGGTACTATTGCTAGATTCATAAATGGGCTTCAGGCTGTGTGGGAATACTGATAATGTTATCTTAGACAGTAAGGGAGTCTCCCCCACTGCCCAAGATGGTGCAGGGGGAGATTCTTACACTGAGCACTCCAAAAGATAGAAATACACATGGACAAGGCCTGAGCTGCCAAAAGCTGGAAATATGAATAGGCAGGATCCAAGCAGCCATAAGGGTGGGAAGATAAATGGATAGGACACCAAAAGATAGAAAGGTAATTTAATAGAAAACTCTCTCCCCTTCCTGTCCCTAAAAAAACTACAGGCTTGAGTAGGAAGAGAGATGGTCTCTGAGATGGGAGTTCGCCGTTCTCTCAGGCTCCTGAATAAACCTCTTCTCTTTTGCACCAGTACCGGTCTCCGGAGTTTGGCTTTCACTGCAGTAGGCAGCCGAACCTACTGTATTCTAGTAAGACCTTAGGACTTGCTTTTGTTTGTTTGGATTAATGGAATTATGGGCCCAAGTTTTGTTTATATGTTCCCATTTCGCCTGGGGTCTTAGTTTTGACTTTGTACTTTTGTGCCATCAGGAGTTGTTCTGTTTCAACTCTTGAATGAAGCCCACTGGGTCAAATTTTAGAGATTAGTTCATGTACAGCTATGATCCAGTGACTAAGGAGGAGTTGGTTTTCTACTGTAATATTCCTTGGCCTATATATACTTTAGACCATGGGGAAAAAATGGCCCCTCAATAGTTCCTAAAGTACTACCCCACCATAGTGTAATTGTTCTGCCAAAGGCCAGAGAAATGGGATGAAATCCCTTACCTCCAGATGTTTATGTCTTTACACAATAAGAATTTGGCACCTAATGACTCAGAGAAGGGAATTGGCCTCAAAATAAGACACAGGAAAAAAAGAGAAATTAGGAGATAAGTCTCTTTAATGCCCTGAACCCAGGGGACCTCGGATTACCTGCAGGAGAATTCCCCCACCACTACCCCAGCTGCTGGATGCCCTTGAGATAGGTGCACATCCGGGGGATGACAGCCCCACTCCTGTATGATGAAGGGATGGTCTCCCCCTTGAAGACCTGGCAGGGCGCCCAATTTGGCCAGGGAGCACCCCCCATCCGGAGAATAACAATTCCCTTTGAGGCAATACCCTATAGACTGAATAAGCCAGGCAGGCCAGCCTGCTAGTCACTACTGGGCCCACACTCATTTTCAACTACTGAATTGGAAAAATTTTATCCCCTTATATAGGGAGAATCCTCAGGAAATGGCAGATCTTATCACCTCCATTTTTTGTCCCTCACCATCCAAACTGGGCAGATGTACAGGCTCTCCCTAACATCTTGCCAAGGACAGATGAAAGGCAGCTAGTTATGGATAAAGCTAATGAAAAGGTTCATCGTCTGCATTAGAATTCCAATGGGACCCCCAACCCAGCTGGGATGATTCCCTTGACAGAGCCCAACTGGGAACACATAGGGGGACCTAGCACCCCTAGAACATTACAGAAGGTACATATCAGAAGCACCTTGAGATGACCCACAGGCACCAGAAAATGTCCAGAGGGTAAACATGACTTTTTTTGGGGGGTGGGGAAGGGGTAAAGTGTTCCAGATAGCAGAAGGAAGCGCCAACATTTAGATGGGGTACTGGGAATGAATCCCTCCCAGACGGTGGACATAGCCTTAAAACTTCACCATACCTGGAAACAAGGGAATTAAAGCAGGGCAATGTTTTCTTGGAAACAGTGTGGGAAATCAGGAGGAGAGGCAGACACGAAAGGAAAAGGGCAAGATCCACTAGGCATCCATCAATGAGCCTGCTGCAAAGAGGAAGGCCACTGAAGAAAGGACTGCCCAGAACTCAAAAAGAAAGAGAGTTGAAACCCTTGCCAGGAAATGTCACAAAGGAACGAGTCTGAGGATGAATGAGAAGGCCCAGAGGCTCCCCCAGACACCTCCCGACCTATTACCACTAGTATTCCCTGCAGGAGCCTTGGCTGATACTAACTGTGGGAAACAAGCTAGCTCAGCGGTCGGCAAACTCATTAGCCAACAGAGCCAAATATCAACAGAACAACAACTGAAATTTCTTTTGAGAGCCAAAAACCGACTTCTGCGCATGGGCCATAGTTTCAATCGCACTGTATGTGTGTGCCTGCACGTGGTATTTTGTGGAAGAGCCACACTCAAGAGGCCAAAGAGCCACATATGGCTCGTGAACTGCAGTTTGCCAACCACTGAGGTAATTGAGTCACGGTATATACAGGAGCTACATACTCAGCACTAAGTACAAAACTAACCAAGGAAAGTGCAGCTGCAGTGATGATTATTTGAATGACCAATTACAAAAACAGGTGTTCCTTCACCCTCCAGGATAAATGCCAGCTTGAGAATCAATACCTTACACATAATTATCTCTACCTGCCAGACTGCCTGGTTCCTTGGTGGGCCAGCTTTTACTTTGCAAACTGCACGCACCAGTAACTTTCCCCGAGAAGCAGCAGTTCTGTATACTGATAGATCCTCCCTTCCTCCAACTGATGGACGAATGGCTTAAACTCCACCTGCAGCCAGACATTCTTAAGCACTGAACCACCAATCAGCACCTGCCAAATACCCTAAGCCCCCATTCCTAAGTCCCTAGGTCCCTAATCATAGGCCTTACATGAAACCACCAATCAGTGTGTGCTGGTGCCCTAAGACCCCCCCCCCCCCCCCTTTCCCTCTTTCCTTCCCTTAAAAGGTGCCTGCATCCCGGCCTTGGCAGCAGGAAGAAACGACAGAGATGGGATCTCCATCCATTTATCCTGTGAGGTTACAAGGTTCTAGAGTTTTGAAGCGAGGACTTGTTACTGTAGACAGGGAGTGCTGGAGCGTCTCCACCATTGGCCAAATGGCTCAGGGGGAGATTCTTACACCAAGAGCACCAAAAGCAGGTAATAGAAATGGACAGTGCCTGAGCTGTCAAAAGCTAGTAATATAGAGACAGGGCACCTGAGCACACAAAAGCTAGGAAGGTGGTTAGGAAAATGCCTTTCCCTCCCTAGCCGTGTTAAGAACAGCGAGTGGGCTTGAGCAGGAAGAGATTGTCCCTGAGACGAGGGGGATGGTCTTTGAGACATGAGTGCACCACTCTCCCAGGTCTAAATAAAACCTCTCCTTTTGTACCAGCACCTACCTTACAAGTTCAGCTTTCATTGCTATAGGCAGCTGAACCTCTGTTTCTTTGTTCAGTTACAGTAATACATGCAAAACTGCCTGTCTTGCCTTTTGTTAGAATGATGATCTCAAAGTAAAGTATGACTCAAAAAGGTGAAAACTACTGCCCTAAAAAGAGTGATTTATGATTATCTTCTCACTATAAAGTCCAGAGAATATTTTTGGTACATACTGTTTTAAGCAAAAGCCAAGACAAAGACTCAAATCATTTCAACTGAAAGGGTCTTTAGCTTGCTCCTATTTACTTGAGGTTATATGACTTGTAAACTAAGGTCTTATAATTTCTATTCTAATACTTGATAAAAGCAAATATGGATTTATTAAACAGATAAAGTTGGGGAAGACTATTTCTTTTACCAAAAATATAGCCTACCAAGCATTTCTTGAATTTTAAAAACAACATGTCTCATGTTTTTACACATTACTTTATTGCACTCCATGGACATTAGTTTTTTAGTTTTTTATTTTAACAAATTGAAAGCAGGACCCTCAATTAGCAAAAAGATTACATTTGTTTTATTGCAATACTCCCTTTGTTACAGTGGTCTGGAACCAAACCTGCAATATTTCCGAGGGCTGTCTGTACCTACCCTACAGATAAATCCTTGCTAGGCCAGGAGTGGAGCCAATGACACTGGGGATAGGGAACGTGTTTCAGGTGATTCATACTCTTGTTAAGTATTTAATGCCCTTCATGATCACTAAATAAGGGTTATTCCAAATTTAAGTATACCAAACTATGCAAGCTGTACAAAAGTTCTTAAGAATACATTTATAGATAAAAGCAATGGTTTCCAAAATTTCTAGGAGTCAGTTCCAGGCATCCAAAGATGCTAAAAACTAAGTAGGTTTAAAACTGCTGCTCCAGAACACAGAATCTCTGTCTGAAATCATCCCCCCATTCTGTCTAATGATGAACAATAAAAACTTAAGTATAAAAGGTCCCCTGAGAGCTTGTCTTCAAATGCAACCCGGCAGTAGCCAGGAGGGTAGGAAAAGGCAAATCTTTAGGGTGCTGGGCGGGAACTGGGAGACAGGAAGGAATGGAACTACAGAGATAGCAGGTGACTAGAAGTGCAACAGGAAAAAGGAAAGCAGACTGAGTACTTCAGGCCTTGTCGGGAGAGAAGAAAAAGAGAACTGTGATAACCTTTCAGACCCAAAATGGTCCATCAGAATCCCAGCCAGTGAAATGAGATGCGAGGTGTCCGGTTAATAATGCGAAATTTGTCATCAAAGAAAACATGATAATTTCAAGAGAAACATCAAAAGTGCTTTATTCAAAGTAAGGTCCATCACTAGCTATACATTTCTCTATTTTCCAGGTAATTTGTGGATACAGTCCCAATAGAACTTTCCTTCTTTTGAGGCAAACCAGAGACCCAATTTTCTACTTCTTCATGTTTTAAAGTGCTGCTCAGAAAGTGTGTGTGCCATTGATCAGAACAAGTGGTAATCTGAAGGAGCAAGGTCTGGTGAATATGGCGGGTGGGTTAATACTTCCCAGGCAAGATCTTTTAATGTGTTTTTTAACTGGTTTTGAAGTGTGTGGTGATGCATTATCATGAAGCAAAATTACTTTGCTGTGTCTTCTGGCCCATTCTGGCCATTTCATAATCAAAGCGTGGTTCAAACTGATTGTTATTGGTAATGATCATCAGTATTAACGGTTTCACCTGCTTTTAGAAGCCCATAATACACCACACCTTCCTGATCCCACCAAATGCAGAGCATTGTCTTCTTTCCAAAGCGATTGGGCTTTGCAGTCAATGTTGATGGTTGACCTGGATCAACCCATGATTTTGTGTGTTTGGGCTTCTCAAAATAAAATCCACTTTTCATTGCTAGTCACAATTCAATGCATAAAAGACTTTCTTTCGTGCCATTAAAGCAACATTTTACTGATGACTTTTCGGTTTTCCATTTTTCTTTTTTTCAATTGATGTGGCACCCATTTCCTCCCTTTAAAATCTTTCCCACTGCTTGTAAATTGTTTGTTGAACTTTTAATCTTTCTGCAAGTTGTTTTTTAGTTTGACATGCATCTTCATCCAATAATGCTTGTAATTGTTGGTCTTCAAACATTTTCGATTGACCTGAACATCTTTGTCTTTCACATCAAAATCATCACTTTTAAAGCATTTAAACTAGCATTCATAAGTGTCTTGAGATGAAGCATGTTCACCAAAAGCTTCTGGAATTGTTCAGCAGTACTTTTCTTCAAAATAAAGTAATAAATTAAAACTTCCCACAAGTGCACTTTTTTGGGCATGAAATTCGACATTTTTAATTGTAAAAATATCTGTGATGTTAACATCTTCAGCAAATTTGACAATATGAAGTTGTGAAGTTTATTGTCAATACAACAAAACAGTATATATATATCAAATCGCATATATATCAACATATGTGTAACTCTGTCTATTGAAAAAAATCCGCATTATTAGCCAGTATACCTGGTATTTTAAAAAAGTTCAATCCATACGATACTACTGGATTTGCTGGTGACTGAACAGAACAGAAATACAATGGCTAGCTTTGAAGACTGGTACTGAAACATTCAATTCATAAAAGGGTTCCACCATATATATGTTTTTTCTTGCCTCTATTTTTTGATTCAAATTTCCTCTGTCCAAATTTCTTAATTTGATAATGATTCATTTTTAAAAATCAAGTAGAAATGATATTGTGATCATCTAATACTATTCCTTTCTTCTCTGTATATAACTGAGAATAGAGTATTTTAATAACAGCTTACTAAGGCTCTTCTATGCAAGCAATGAGAACCCAGAACACATCCAGAAACCTGATATCCTATCCTTTCTACTGACTTCTCTTATAACCACAGTTAAGTCATCTAGGATCCAAATTTTTCACTTAACAATTAAAAACAAATACAACTGCTCTAATAAGCTTACTAAGCTTTCTCAAACACCCAACACATTGAGCATCTGCCACTCCCAGGACAGTGTGCTGCCTGTGGAACTCCCAAATCAGGGACTTTCCAATCCCACCTGAGCACTAAGTTATACTACTACTGTTTATCAATACAAGCCAATTAGCTGTGCTATTAAAGCATTTACAACATAGCTTTGCTACAAGTAAATTCTAAATAAAAGCTGTTGAAACCAATTTATATTTTCAATAGGATCTATATTATAATTTGGAAAATTTCCTTTCTAATCAAGGATTTAACAAAACAAAACATTTAAAAACTTTAAAATATAACCAAAACGTCATACGAAAATGATTTAAACAAATATGTTTATAGCAAAACAAAATGGGCATCTGAAACTATAGTTAAATTTTTTACCCATAACAGATATAATATACAATTTTTTTCTTAGAATGTGGAAGAGTTTTCCAGGTATAACTAAAATGGCATAGTTTTAGTCAAGTTTAAGACTCATCTATTAAAACACTCATCTATTAAAACACTTCTCAGTCTTCAAGGCTCAGTTCACCTCTTCTATAAAAGTGCCCTGACCTCTGAGGCCAGAAGGCAGATAAGATGCTGAGGAAACCATGCCCCAGTTATCAAGTATTACCCTTTTTTATACAATAGATTTGTAATCTTGTATCATTTAATTTTTCTGAATTTTAGTTCCCTCATTTGTAAAGTGTACATAAAATCCCTCCTTTGGGGTCTTGAAGGCTGAATAAAATAAAGTACATAAATCAACAGTGTTTGTTATGTAGATGTGCACATAATATGTATATGGTACCTATCATTGAACCGTTTCCTCAATTCTTTATGCTTTTATAAGTACTAAAATGAAATGAGCTTATCCTATATAATAAAAGCCTAATATTTTAAGTGTCTGGCTGTTTAACCAGTCGCTATGATGTGCACTGACCACCAGAGGGCAAATGCTCCAACCAGTAGGTTAGCTTGCTGCTGGGGTCTGGCAGGCTGGGATTGGGCAAGACGCCTTGGAGCCCTCCCGCAGTCCCTTCCCAGCCCTGATCATTCACCCGTGGAGTCCCTCAGCCTGGTCTGGGGGATCAGGCCAAAACCAGCTCTCTGATATCCCCCAAGGGATCCCAGATCGCAGGCCAGAATGAGGGACTCCACCGGTGCAGACATCCGTGCACAGGGCCTCTAGTGATAAAATAAAATGCTTAACTCCTGCAAATCAGGTTCCTTCTTAGAAACAGAACACATATTTTTCCACTGATTTTTTTTTTTTTAAGAGAAAGTGGGAGGGAGGGTGAGATAGAGGGCCAGGGATTGAACCTGCAACTGATTCCCTTGAGCAGGAATCAAGCCTGGACCCCTCTTCAGTCTCCAGGCACATGCTCTAATCCCTGAGCAAAAATGGCCAGGGCGAAAACAGAACACTTTCTAATGGTAGTTCTAATATTCCTGCCTTCAATCAACAAATCAAAAATACCAAAGGGACAAAGAAAGACAGTAAGTTGGTATCACCTGGACCAAATTTTGCAATGAAGCTTTAGCTTACTTATACAAAGTAAAGGCTGTTAAACTCATAAAAAAATTAAGTATACTGCATTGTGAGAAATTTCTTCTCTGAAGACAATAACAACAAAAAACTTTCTGTTCTTCAGTGGAATGTCAGTACCATAGAAAACAATATGCATTTGATTAAGTCATTCACTCATATATATGTTATTATAGTATAGTATCATGCAGTATAGTACCAGTATAGTGCATTTAACATAGTATAGTGCATTATAGTATAGTGCATTGTAGTGTAGTGTATTATAATATAGTACAGTGTAGTATTGTATAGTGCAGTATAGTATGGTATAGTGCAGTATAATAAACTATAATACGATATAGTGCACTGTAATATAATATAGTATAGTGCACTGTAGAATAGTACAGTGCATAGTATAGTGCACTGGTACAACATATCAATGCTTCCAACTTAATCACCCCAACTATACTCCTTATACTTATTAAACTTTGAATAATAATGATAGTAAATATGCAAAGAACTGCAGGTTTCAGGCCACTGAAGATTACGACACAAGAAGTAAACTGTAACTTTAACCGAGCTTATATTGTAACCAACCTAAAGGAGAGGGCTGCCCCCGTATAACTCCATTCTTGGTTCTCTCTTCCAAGTCCATAACTTCCTTGTATATCAATTCTGAAAAAGAGGTGAACAAAAACAAACTTTAAAGTCTGAAAGCCAACCGCACAAGATGTCTGTTTTAAATAAATATTTTTTACACACATTAAGTACTTCAAATACTATCCTCCAATGGTAGAGGGTCCATGTCAGCCTAAGATTCAAAGATATTAAAAACAATTCTTTGATCCTCAGCCATGAATTATGTTGAAAGGAACAAAATCTCTGACTTAGCTGGTGTTCCTAGCGGTGGATTAAAGATAGAGCTGTGATTAGAAACCTTGCACCCTGTACTACGCTACGTGAGACCACATTTCACGCTGTACTGCACACACTTGTTTACCCATGTCTCGGTGAGGGCTCGAATCACCTGTCTTATTAGTGTTCCTGATGGGGCCTCGGACTTGTAGGCATTAACCCAAATCTGTTCAAGGATTTAAATGAAAGAGTGGAGGAAGAATGGTATAAAAACACATTGGTATTTTTATAAAAGAAGTGGCAGATAACCACACCTGAAAACCTTAAAACCTGCAGCCTGACATGCTGTCACTGCCACACTTTCTCCACGGGACCCCGCCCTTTGCCTGCTGTGGGCAGTGGGCTGGGAGGATGCTGCCCTGCATTCTCCTCCGTCGCCTGACACTGAGTGTGATGGGCCTGTGACTGAACTTCTACTGAAGAACCACCTTCTGGTAGAAGCTACAGAGCCATTGTTCCTCATTGTTTTGGGGGTCCTGGAATAATTTAAGAACTGCATAAAAGCAATGTACCTCTGCTGAGAAAATGCGCAAGCAAAATTTTAGCAAAGAATTTTAAGGAGTTTGTAAATCTTTAAACTTCAGATAAAGAATCTGTGATTATAGGGTATGACAAAGTTTCTGTTGGTAATAAGGTAAAACAAGTGGATATGCTGAAATGAACAAGTACTTAGAGACACCTAAATTTGCTTGCTATGGTGAACTTCTTGGACTTGGAAGGAGAAAAATAGGAAATCTTGATAGAGGGAAGAATGGGGAAAGCTTTACTGCAAAGAAACAAAAAGGAATGATAAGCATTCCAGGTAGGATTTTTTTTTTTTTTTAATGAGAAAACAGCACCACTTTATGAAAAGGAATTAGGTAGACAAACAAGAGCTACTTAGCAGTACTAACTGGGCAAAGTGATCTGCAGTTAATGGCTTTGGCAATGGATTTCTTTGCGTTATGATGCTAAAACTTGTCAGCAAATCTTGAAAGAGGCAGTGAGCGGGTAATCACGGAAAAGCATGTGGGGCTAAAAGGAAATGATTCAGAATAAAGGCGAACCGGTCTAGAATCTTCAAAAATCCCAGGTATGTCCTTATATTAATACAAACAAAACCCCTATGTTCAAATGATTTTAAGATGCACTTTTTCTTAAAATGTCTCTGACATTGGGTTGTATAACCAGTGGCACATTATGGTATGTTTACAATTGGTGGCCTACTAAGATTCCATGAGATAGGAGAATATTAGATATTTCCATTCTATACACTCTGGCCCACAATTAGATCTTTGTGTATTATCTATTACAAGTAAAAATGTACTCGGTTCTACCTAATTGCATCATTCTGGTAGACTCTACATAGTCTGACTACATGTCTGTGAGAGTCAACCCAGAGAAAATTAATCTCTGGTTATATTTCTATGAAGAAAGAATCAAATTCATTCCTCCCAAATAAATTTATAACTGAATTACCTGTTTTAATTATTATTATTATTATTTTGGCTGGGTACAGTGAACTTTGACAAAATAGGGCTCCCTATACCCCTCCCCTTCTTTAGGGGCCTGGGATGGAAACGGAGGTCAGGAGATTCTCAGCGTGTTGAGGGATCAATCTGGAGCCAGGACTCCCCCGCAGTTGAGGGGTCTTTTTCTTACTCCTTGGAGACCATGTGGACTATAAGGACCAGCACCCTGTTGCTGTAGCCAAATTCATTGTCAGACCAGAAAACGAGCTTGACAAAGTGGTCACTGAGGGCAATGCCAGCTCCAGCATCAAAGGTGGAGGAGTGGGTGTCACTGTTAAGAGTCGCAGGAGACAGCCTGGTCCTCAGTGTAGCCCAGGATGCCCTTGAGGGGGCCCTCTGACGCCTGCTTCACTATCTTCTTGATATTATCATATTTGGCAGCTTTCTCCAGGCATCAGGTCAGATCCACAACAGACACGTTGGGGGTGGGGACACGGAAGACCATGCCAGTGAGCTTCCCATTCAGCTCTGGGATGACCTTGCCCACAGCCTTGCAGCGCCAATAGAAGCAGCGATGATGTCCTGGGCAGCCCCTTGGCCATCATGCCACAGCTTCCCAGAGGGGCCATCACTGTCTTCCTGGTGGCAGTGATGGCATGGACTGTGCCATGAGTCCCTCCGCGATGCCAAAGGTGTCATGGATGACCTTGGCCAGGGGGGCCAAGCAGTTGGTGGTGCAGGAGGCATTGCTGACAATCTTGAGGGAGTTGTCATACTTGTCATTGTTCACAACCATCACAAACGGGGGCATCTGCAGAAGGAGCAGAGATGACGACCCTCTTGGCTCCGCCCTTCAAGAGAGCCCCAGCTTTCTCCATGGTAGTGAAGTCACCAGTGGACTCCACCACATACTCAGCACCAGCATCACCCCATTTGATGTTGGTGGGATCTCGGTCCTGGAAGATGGAGATGGACTTTCCACTGATAACAAGCTTCCTATTCTCAGCCTTGACTATGCCTTTGAACTTGACAGGAGTAGAATCTCACTGGAACATGTGCACCATATAGTTGACGTCAATGAAGGAGTCACTGATAGCGACAATATCCACTTTGCCAGAGTTAAAAGCAGTCCTGGTGACCAGGTGCCCAATGATGCCAAGTCTGTTCACTCTGACCTTCACTATTGTGTCTCAGGGTTGTAGCTGGCGCAGCGCAGGAAGAGAGCTGTCCGATGAATAGGAGGAGCAGAGAGCCCACCTGTCTGTTTCATACTTCTGCAGTCCCTTTCACTTTCCCAGGGTGTAGGCACATAGTTCTTAATAGCAAGTCTTCTGTACCCAGCTATTTAAGTTCAGGTAAAAAGTGGATCAAGTGACTTGCCCAAAGTCATGTAGCTATAAAAGTGGTTCAAATATCACAGAACAACAACACAAATGAGTAAATAGGATAAAAAATTATCTGGCCTAACTATCCCAGGGAATCTTTATTTATTTATTTTTTTTTAATTTGTTAATCCTCACCTGAGGATATTTTCTGCTGTTGATTTTGAGAGAGAGAGCAACATCGATGTGAGATACATCAATTGGTTACCTCCTGAATGTGCCCCAACCAGGGTTGGGGACTGAACCTGCAACAACCCAAGTGCATGTCCTAGACCCGGAATCCAACCCAAGACTTTCGGTGAATAGGCTGATGCTTTAACCACTGAGAGCTATACAGGCCAGGTCATCCCAGGGAATCTTTTAGAGAAATAAGTATTTCACTATCAAAGCATTATTAATGTTCAACCACATTCATAAAATAAAACTACTATATTAGTTTTGCAAAGACTACAAATTAACTCTCTGTTGGTGAACTCCCTGATAGACAGTCCTTTATAATACTGACAGAAATATAAACCACTACAATTTCTTTGAAGGTAATCTGGAAATAATTGAAAAATATCCTTTGGCCGAGCAACTCTTATAGGACATTTTTTATTGGCATGTTCTCGGGTCCCCTGGCCTAGTGCTGGGGTGGGGGGCAGGCCATGCCCCCCACCCCAGCACTAGGCCAGGGGACCCGAGGCCATGCCCCTCGCCCCAGTCTGGGCTGGGAGACTTCAGGCCATGCCCCCTGTCCTGGTGCCAGGCCTAAGGACCAGAGGCTATGTCCCCTGTCCGGCGGGGCTTGACAAGGGTGGGATTGCACAAGAGCACTGCAGTTGTAATAACAACAGACTGGACACAACTTGAGTTCTCTGCAAGTGGGAGCTGGGTATATCGATAGAAACTGACACAGCTGGACAGCTGGGAATCCATGTGCCATATGGAGCAGGAGAGGATGATCTCTAACATGGGATTACACCAATAGAGCACACTACCCATGAAGACCAAAGCAGGTGGGAGAGTAGAAGGGGGAGATCCAAACACACAGGCTTGAGTACTTGTAGACTACGAAAGAAAAAAATACTCCGAAAAGAACTAATGTTTCTGTGTCTGGATAAGGGACGTGAGAGATTAGGACTGACACTATACTTTCTATCTGGAAGACAAAACAGGCTGGGTGCTTCATGTGTTAAGTAAGGGAGGAAAAGAGATCTACTTTCTATTTTTGCAAAAAATACTAATTATAATATTACCATATATGAATTATCCAATCTAATAAAGAGGGAATATGCTAATTGATGTCACAAAGATGGCTGTACCCACAGCTAAAGCCAAGTTCCCATAAGGAGCCTTAACGATCAATCAGCAGGGACCTGAGGCTACGCCTTCCTCACTCCCCATGGGGCTTGACATGGGATCTCAGGCCACATCCCCCACCCAGCAGGGCTTGACAGGGGACCTCTGGCTGCAGCCACCGCCCTGGTGTCAGGCTGGGGCACCTCAGGCCATGCCCCCCACCCCAGCACTAGGCCAGGGGACCCGAGGCCATGCCCCTCGCCCCAGTCTGGGCTGGGAGACTTCAGGCCATGCCCCCTGTCCTGGTGCCAGGCCTAAGGACCTGAGGCTATGTCCCCTGTCCGGCGGGGCTTGACAAGGGTGGGATTGACCAGGTCTGGATCTAGCCCAATGGAGGAGGGTAGGCGATTTTGAGGGGCATGTGGATGGGTGGGTACTTGACTCTGGATCCCATGGTGCTCCCAGCCTCTGACAGGAGAAAGGTTTTCATATACAATTTTACTAATTTTCTTTCATCTCTGACACTTCTATTATAGAGAAAGAGCAAATATGAATATTAAATTATTTCCTCTAATTAATCCTCTTTTAATGTGCATAAATTTTGTGCACCGGGCCATTAGTCCTATATAATAAAAGGCTAATATGCAAATAGAACAAATGGTGGAACAACCGAACAACTGGATGCTAAGATGTGTGCTCAACACCAGGGGGCATGCGCAAAACATGGGGGTACTGGCCACAGCAGAATGATAGAGCAGGTGAGTAGGGCAGGGTGCAGGTCACTGTCATGAGGGTGAGCCTCTGATGGTTACTGAAAATTCTTTGCTCCCACACGCTGTGGTCCTGCCTGGCACTTGCACCTGCTGCTGGCACTCAGTGCCGGCCCCAGTCACTTGGCACCATCAGTGGGTGCAATCTGCGGCTGCCGGCCCTGATCACCCCTCAGGGCTTTTCCACTTCTCTCTGCTCCTAAAGGGCGATTGGAGGCAGCAACCACCTCTTGTACCCACTGTCAGCAACAGCCCCACTCGCACCTGCTGCCAGTGCCCCATGCCAGTCCTGATCACTTGGCGCCATCAGCAGGTGCAAGTGGCAGATGACATCCCTGATAGTCCGAGGGCTTCTCCACCTACCCTGCTCCTGAGGGGTGATCGGGGTAGCAGCTTTTGCTTGCACCTGCTGACAGTGCCAGCTCTGCCTGCACCCACTGCTGGCACCAGCCCTAATCATTTCACGCCTTCAGCTGGTGGGAGAGGGGCTGGAGTTGTCAGCATGTGGGAGCGACAGTGGTAGGACCGGGGTTGCAGGTAAAGAGGTAGAGGGAGTGGAGTGAAAGGGGGGGGGGGGGCAGTGGTGGGAAGAGTCAGGCGAGGATGTGAAGGATGGGCCGAGACCCATCCCTGTGCCCACCTCAGCCTCACAGCCCACAGTTCCTTTCAAGTGTAGGAATTCATGCACTGGGCCCCTAGTGAATAATATAAAGTATCTCTAGTTTCCTCAACATGATGAACAAATCAACACAATAAGCCAGAAGCTCTCTCGGCTCCATCTCTCAGGATCTGGTGAATGTTACCTTTCCACTCTTCTATTGTGTGTTCCCGTTCATCTAATTGCTTGTCAGGTATTTTTGGTGGTGGCTGAAAAACAAAAGGCAGCAATAATTGAGTCAGTTTACTAGGAGTATGGAAATCATCATAATTATTTGAAATGTCATCTAAACAGCAAGGTTTTGTAAAAATATATTATTAGACCAGAGTGATGAATCATCTTTGATGTAGAGACTAGTTTTGGAAGAATCCTTCCTGACAAAAAAAAATATTTAACCAACTTTTTCTTTTCTTCCAGCTTTTGAAATGGTCAATTTATTTACATTATAGAACTTATATAAAGGGCTCTGCTTTGGACACAATAATTTGTTTTATAACTGAGTTAGGATGTCCTCCCAAAGCATTCAGTGTTCTAGCTCATCAGATCAGGTATCAAGATAAGAAGGCAAGAAGCTGAGAGAGGGAACTTTATTTTGTGTAGGAAGTGCTTGGATAAGCTCATTACTTATGGCACTTTAAATGCAAAACAGAAAACAGCATTATCATTTACCTATATTTTTATTTAAAACTATAGGCTCAGTGCACAAATTCGTGCACAGATGGGGTCCGGCCAGCTCGCCCTGATGGTGGTAGATTGGGCCAGGCGGGCAGGGGAGAAGGGATGCAGGTTCGCTGCCTGACCCCACCCCCCTATCAGGGTTGAGAGGGCCAATTAGGGCCAGGCTGGCTGGGGGAAAGAGCCGAGGGTGGTTGCAGGGGATGGGAGAGCCAAACAGGCCAAGCGGTTGGCCGCTGCAGTGAGCATCATAGCAACTGGTCGTTCTGCCGTTCTAGTCGCTTGGCTTTTATATATATATAGATTAAAATGTTTCCTCCAAACCCAACCTTAATTCTAACTGTAAGGGGTATGACTTCTTTAAACATGAAGAGAAGAACTTACAGCCTCCGCCTCCGAAGGGTCATACCAGACGTTGATGTATGGGTGCTGAAGAGCTTCATCCACAGAGATTCTTTTGGATGCATCAATCACCAGCATTTTGGATAACAAATCCCTCGCCTGACTGGCTGCAAAAATAATGATGTGAATGTACAAGTACCTCATAAAGGCTTTTAAAAATAGCAATACATTTCAAAACTTGAAATGCTCATTTTTTTTTTAAAGTATGTGCTTTTGAAAGTATTTTACTATAAAATCAGGTTATACATATGATGAAAAAATTTACAGGAAAAATGATTAAAACCTTACTCTGTTTCACCACCCAGAAATAATCTTAGTATATGCTCCATAATAGTACACACACACACACACAGACACACACACACAGAATTAAATAATTTATTAAAAGTACCTTTAAGTTTGTTGTGTTCTGAGTCAGCAGGAAAGAGCACATCAGGGAAGAGTTTCTCAAAGCTGTATCCAGCATATTTAGGTCTGTTTTCAACGTAAGTCCTTACTGTTGGTTGTAGTTTCTTCATGAATTCAGGACATGGTGTTCCAAGCTGTTCAATAACTTTATTCCACTGATCAATATCTAATATCAAGTAGCTAAGAAAAATACTCCATATCTAATGTTCAACACATAGTCATAGCCGTATTAAAATAACAAGAAAATAATATTATAAAATTCTAAGAAAGAATGTGGCAGTTACAAATCTTTTATCTTATAGCCACCTTGCAAAAGGTGGACAGAAAGGGTCAACAAACAAGCACCGATAATCTTATTTAGAGAGAGAGAGAGAGAATATTAATTTTATCATATAAATGAAAGCTTAGCCCAACTGGTACGGCTCAGTGGTTGAGCGCTATCCCATGTACCAAGATGTCACCAGTTCTAGTCCCAGTAAGGGCACATGCTCAGATTGTGGGCTTGATCCCTAGTAGGGGGTTTGCAGGAGGCAGCAGATCCATGTTTCTCTCTCATTAATGTTTCTATCTCTCCCTTCCTCCCCTCTTCTCTTTCTAAAAAATCAACAAAAACGTATTTTAAAAAATGAAAGCTTAAACCAACAAATTCCAAATACAAATGACAAGTGACTCAAAAAATAATGATAATTACTACCCACAGGCACTCTAAATGTAAACTGTACACAATTCTGGAATACAAAAAATTTTTTTCTGGCTCATCTGAAAATGTGAATGCATATCCAAAAGTGGTGTTTCTCAACCTTTCTAATGCCGCGACGCTTTAATACAGTCCTCATGTTGTGGTGACCCCAACCATAAAATTATTTCCATTGCTACTTCATAACTATAATTTTGCTACTGTTAAGAATCGTAATTTAAATATCTGTGTTTTCCAATGGTCTTAGGCTCTACAGCATCGGTTCTCTGAGAATCACTAGCAGGGTTGCCTAAGACCACTGGAAAACACAGATATTTACATTACGATTCTTAACAGTAGCAAAATTATAGTTATGAAGTAGCAATGGAAATAATTTTATGGTTGGGGTCACCACAACACGAGGATCTGCATGAAAGGGTCGAGGCGTGAGAAAGGTTGAGAACCACTGTCTTAGAGGCTAAGAAATATTTCTTATAATCTGTCCCTTTTTTTTTTTTTTTTTTTTTTGAGAATTTTCTACACTAACAGAAAACTTGTAAAAATAACAGCTATGATACAAGAGGCATTTTCTTTTGCCATGCTTTCTTTAACTTAGGTAATTAACTCTGAAAGCTCTGAAACCTGTGAACATATTGATATTTGATAAGTTGTTGAGGTTAGAACTTCCTATCTCCTTCCTCCTAAGTCTTCACACTGCCAGTCCTCCCCTCTGATTAAGTGCTGTGGTCAGCAAACTGTGCCTTAAGAGCCACATGCGGCTCTTTGGCCCCTTAAGAGTGGCTCTTCCACAAAATACCACGACCTGGGCGAGTCTATTTTGAAGAAGTGGCATTAGAAGAAGTTTAAGTTTAAAAAATTTGGCTCTCCAAAGAAATTTCAATCGTCGTACTGTTGATATTTGACTCAGTTAACTAATGAGTTTGCCGACCACTGACGTAGTGCATGTGGTTTTCCCATGCCTCCTCCTACAGTAAGGCTCAGGGTTACTAGCTGATAAACACATCACACATCATTTGCTAGTAATGTAAATATTAAAATAGTCGTTGAACAAAAAGCATGACTCCAAGTCTACTTACACCATAATAAAACTGTTACTGCTGAAATTCTCAGATGAAAAGATCAGTATGTTATGTTGACAAATGAGACAACTACCCAAAGACACGAAACACAAAGAACAGTAACACAAAGGGAGGTGGGGGAAAGGAGGGTAAAACAAAAGGATGGCCAGAAGCAACAGACAATTCCAAAATGCATATTAAAGTCCTAAGTGCTTCTAGACTTAATCAAGTGCATACCTAAGTATTAGAAATTTTTAATTTCTAATTAAAAATTTTAATTTCTAATTAATTAAAATTTTAATTTCTAATTTAAGCCAATAAGTAATTGTGGATAATTAACTCGGGCAGTTCTCAGAAACAACATGACACAATCAATATGTGGGGGAGGGAAATCTATGTCAACTAGCAGGTGGCATTTTGAAAGAGTAGAATAATTTAACAATATTATTAGGGAGAGACAAAATACATTATACTTGACCTAGCTGAAGTGCTGCCATACATTTTGACCTTTAGAAACTACATTTTAGGCCAAAGATAAGGATACGATCTGTACCTGGGAACAAAACACCACCTTTGATCATTTCTCCCATGATGCACCCAACTGACCAAATGTCAACTGAAAACAAAATGCAATGACATTAACATAAAGAATTTGGTTAAAGTAAAAAAAAATATAAACATTGAAAAAAATTACGCACACCATGTATACTTTAAAATTATAGAAAGCAGTACAAAATAAAAATGAGTGACAGTGAATGTGCTCTAACTACCAGCAGAGACTGTATTTCCTGCTGCCAGACGCAGCCTACGAACATTTCAGCTTCTCATCTCAGCAGTGTTTGAACTATAATAGCCACAAACTAGTTGTTTAAAACAACCCCAGTATGAATAAACCATCTTCATCCCCATTAGCGAACATAAGGAAGTCATCACTAATTTCACTGCTGCAGCAGCACAAGGATACAGTCCCTTCCTGGAAAGAGGATTTTGTGGCAAACCATTTCTCCCATAATGCACCCCACAGACCATAAATCCACTATATGTTTGCAGCACAAAAGAAGGAAAAGCAAAGCAAAAAGTCATTAAAATCAAAGAAGCATAATATGACTGCATTATATAACAACTACAAAACATCACAAAAAGAAAAGTGATTTTAGTTTTAGCTAATGGAATAATTTAAAACAAAATATTTTTCAAAAGGCTTTGAATTACAAAAGCAGATGGTGAAATGTGGCCTTTTAACTATATATTTAATTTTAAAGTGAGAGCCATGCACAGAAATAATGTAGTTAAAAATCCCATACAATTTGTCACTGGAAATTTGTTTATAAAATATAAAATAGCAGCAAACATAAACTTTGTAAATAAGGTTGAAAAAGTACACAAGGTAGCAAATTTTAAAAAGTGGAATCTTGACAATACTTTGAGGTTCAACTGTGCATTATTATGCTCTCTCTTTAAGACAACAAAAAGGCATGAGCAGAAATAATTTAGCATGTTAAATATTTAACAGAAAGCATGCATTTCTATGAATAATTACAGTTAAGAATTAATCCAAAGCCCTTTATCAATTTTCAAACTGGATTTCATAAATGTACTTGAGTGGTGCTTTGTCTATTTTGAAGTGCAAGTCACTTGTTTCCCCAGCAATGCTGTGCTACATCTACCCTACTCTCCCAACAGGAACAAGTGCATAGACAGTGAATAAATGATCAAGGCAGAAAACTCAGCACAAAGTTTATATCATGTTTTCTACCTAAAGTCTTTAAGCCCATAAAACTAAATTGCTTTTGATTGAAGACGGTTAGTTTTGGTTGAACACAGTCTGAAAGTTCCCACTTCAATGGGACCTCTAATCAATGCTAAAAACATCTACTAGACACAGAAACGGGCAATTTGAGGATCTCCATCTGCTTCCTCAAAACTGACAGTGCACCCTGTTATCTCTGGGCAAGAAAATCAGATAAAAAGAGGAGAGCAGATGCTTGCAGCTTACTAGGAAAAGAGGGGAAGACAGCAATTTAAAAGGAAAGCCTTAGAAACTATGTTTTTGAAGCTTGAAGGTCTAAATTTTTTTAAGGGTAAAAAAGGAAAAGGGTAGAAATTGATGTCAAAGAGAGAGACACCTGTACCCACACTGGAGGACTTAGAAAAGGTAAGTGTACTTCCTAGTACACACCTTTACAAGGAGCCAGTTCACCACAGAATCAACGGAGTGAAACTGGAAAGAAATTTTGGAATACCTTTGGAATTAAAATTTCTCTAAAATTTAGTATTAAAATAAAGGCAAATATTTTTATATTTATAGTACGATTCAATTTTCAAAGACAAAAATTTAGAATAAAGTTAATATTCATAAATCAGTTCAGAGGGAAAAAATTCCAGGATTTTCATTTCTGGTAAAAATTTATTACAATTTCCCTATAAATTATAGAGAACAACAAATTTTACTTAAGTACCCAGGACACAAGTTATGTAGAAAACTTTAAGAAATCATATAAACCCATTTTTAAGCAGATTATGAATGTGGCAAGCATGCAAAGCAGTTCTTGTCTGGGTCAGTGAAGACTTTCTCAACATGATAAGCCTGGTTCACGCATAAAACTTCCTTTAATGGGTCTACAGCCAACTAGCAGCTTAAATATATTCCATTATATTAAACTTTCTACAAAGCTTTGAGGTAGCTTGCAATAAAAGGCAAAATTAAAGTTATTAAAACAGGTGACGGCGGGTGGAGGAAGTTCTTATATTTGCCCTTGATGGCTAATGTGTTATCATCATTAAGCATTACATTTGACTCAGTTTCCTGAGACCAAAAAAGAAAAGAAAGAAAAATAAGGTCATCTACATAACTCTTATCTACGAGGAAAGCAAGTCAATTTTTAATATGGTATTTTTTCTTAGTGCTAATTCCTGGCAGGGAGCTATCTCCTCAAATCACACTTATAGGACACAGAGCGACACATTAAACAGTAGCTGAAACAGTCAATGGTTTTAAAGCAAATGCAAAAGCAATCTTCATGTTACTTGTATCAATTCTAAAAAAACAACAAACCTAATAAACAACAATAACAAAACCTTAATGAGTCTAATATTAAATATAACTCACTTGATCTCAAGGGTATAAGACAATTTTAGATAGTAAGAAAACAAAACAGCCTGTTTATTTAAGAACAAAAGAATAGGAAATGTTTAAAGCATTTGTTTTTAATTAGCTCAGAAAATAAAAGGAAGTTAAAATCCTCAGTTCAACGTTATCTTTTCTAAAAATGAATCAAGAAGATTGACTTAATACAGTTTCTTAATTCAAAGCAAGCTGCTAGGAAAAAGCCCAGGCCCCATTCCAAGCAGTGCTTTGGATGAAGTTACAAGTCAATAAAGGCCTGTCTGTGCACTTACTCACCCCCTGTCTGAGTCAACAACATTTCTTCTTAATATGTGTATGTTTAATTTTTTAATAAATACTGGGCTTCAAGTCCTTTAAGAAATAAAGAATAAAAGACTGCTATGACGTATACAAATATTTTGCAGTTCACAAGTTATCAGATCACTGATAAAACAATTCATGCAAACTGTTTATTTCTCTCACCATAATCGGTATCATGAATTAAATTCATAATAATAGGCACATTTGAGGAATTCACTTGATTGCATTTTAATTTATGAGTCTATAATAATCTACAGGGAAATTTTATTGTAATAGATTTTTACCAGAAATGAAAATCCTGGAATTTTTTTCCTCTGAACTGACAATTTTCTTCAACCTTGATTCTAATGCCGATATACGTAACTGAATATACCGACACATAATATGCCATTTCTTTAAGGCTGGACACAGGGCGTTGATGAAAATTTCCTACAAGAGGTCACCTTTATTATCCTTCAGCTCTGTAGGTGGCTTTATCTTGGCTCTTCAAATTTACCCTAAGTGCTATTGCTAGTAGTTCTAGTCTCAGGGGGTTGGAAACATGTGCAAATGTCACTAACAGCAAACTAAACTTCATACAAAAGATAAACTGTCTGTTTACTATATATATTCCTTGAGCCCATGTTGGAAATATTCACTGTAAAGTTACAGGAAAGTAAATTTCAGGGGCTATGGCAACAAAGTCTTTATCCAAAGTAGTGTTGATAGTTATGTATTTGTAATTAAATAGACAGGTGCCCTAAGTTTTTCCAAACATTTATGACAAAATTTAAGAGTTACTTTTAAACTCTTAATAAAATACTTCAGTGACATATATTTAACTATGCACTTCAGCTTCAATATTTACATAAGCAATCTCATAAAATAGAACAGCATTTAAAGTAAACGTGTTTTCTGACCGTTTTCTTTGTAGCCCATCCCTAGGATGACTTCAGGTGCTCGGTAGTAGCGAGTCACTACGTAAGGAGTCATCATGAAACTCGTTCCTGCAGTCCTGGCCAATCCAAAGTCAAGAATCTTCAAAGTGCAGTCTGATTTTACTACGATATTACTGGGCTTCAAGTCCTTTAAGAAATAAAGAATAAAAGACTGCTATGACATATACAAATATTTTGCAGTTCACAAGTTATCAGATCACTGATAAAACAATTCATTTAAACTCTTTATTTCTCTCACCATAATCGGTATCATGGCATAAATTCATTATAATAGGCACATTTGAGAAATTCACTTGATGGCATTTTAATTTATGAATACATACAATTATTAGAGAATTAGTAGTATTTTATTTGCTAGAAATTATGATTAGCTAGTAATTTTTGATCAAGTGGAGTAAAGGAACTACATCTTAAAGCTCACGTAAGCCCTTGCTGGTTTGGCTCAGTGGACAGAGCTTAGGCCTGCAGACTGAAGGGTCCCAGGTTCAATTCCAGTCAAGGGTTGCGGGCTCAATCTCCAGTGTGGGGCATGCAGGAGGCAGCCTATCAATAATTGTCTCTCATCATTGATGTTGTTTCTACCTCTCTCCCCTCTCTTCCTCTCTGAAATCAATAATAAAAAATCTATAATAATGAAAGTATAATATGCTAATTAGTCCAGACATCCTTCAGGACAACCTGCCAGACAAAGCTGGGATTTGTGAGGGAAGCCCGGGCCCCAGGTGCCAGAGGGAAGCCAGTGCCAGCAGCTAGGAGAAGGAAGACCTACTCTTGCACAAATTTCATGCACCAGGCCTCTAGTGTTTAAAAATAAAAAAGATCAGCCAAAACCGGTTTAGCTCAATCATAGAGTGTCGGCTTGGGGACTGAAAGGTCCCGGGCTTGATTCCGATCAAGGGCATGTGCCTTGGTTGCGGGCATATCCCCGGTGGGGGGTGTGCAACAGGCAACTGATGGATGACTCTCTCTCATCGATGTTACTAACTCTCTATCTCTCTTCCTTTCTCTCTGTAAAAAATCAATAAAATAAAAAAATTTTTAAAAAAAGATCACATAAAACTAATATGGTAAAAGACAGAATCATAAGGTAGCGTTTATATTCACTTGTATACTAAATTACAGGCATTAAAAAAACTAATTTTAAAGTCACAATGAAGTTTGTGTAGATATTGCAAATCAACAATTGACCATTTTATGTCAATCCAAACAAGTGTCATTTGACCTCTCGCATTGGCAGATGGCCAAATCTCACAGTCCTCAGCGGTCTTTCCCACACTAACTGCTCGTCCCAAATCACACAAATTTGTAAAATCTCTGTCTGCTCATAGAGGTAGGAGAGCATTATCTTGGTGCCACTAATTTATATAATTACTTGCTGTTAATGCTACTAAATAATGTCTTTGTGAAGGATTTTCCAGCTTCACAAGCTGACCCAAGTTTCAAGCAATTCCATGCTTGGTCGTTAAAATGAAGGCAGCAGCGTCAAAACTCATGGCTTCAAGTTTAAGACATTTTGCCTGTTAGCTCCCGTGAATCCTACTGTGAACCAAGAGACCACAGAAAGGAAAAATGCATCCACAATACAAACACACTCCATTAAGGATACTGATGGCCGGAAAGGCAATGACTGCTTTTCCAACGTCTCCAGGAAAAACTGTATGTTATATTTAGCATCTTTTTATAGGAAATCATGGATGGTTTTAGAAGGTATGTAACCCAAGGGCTTTATCAAATTAAAAATAGAGATCAACAGGCTTAGTGAAACAGAAGATGAAATTTTTCATTATTGTTGTTACATAAATGTGATGTTGGCACTATTTGCAAAATACAATACTCAGCAAAGTAACTCTGCATGTTCAAGAAAAACCTTACAATCTTTGATACTGTTTCAAAGTCTACTGTAATGGGTAAACATCAATGGCTCTTTACACTACTGCATCCTCATATAGAAATACAATTCTAATTTTAAACATTTTATTTTGGAAAATTAAGAGTAAAATACACTTAAAATATTTTTAAAGAAAAACTGTCTAAAAATGGCTCAAAAAGTATTACCTGAAATCTACCCTTATCTATCAGTAGGATCAGCATTCTACAGATGCTAGGACCATATGAGAACAACTGAATTGGTGTGAATTTGTAGCAGAGTGGAACTAAGTTAACATTATTCCATCTTCTCTCACAGTTTCTAGCCTCCTCACAATGAGGTAGGTAATCAGGCAAGCCTAACTGTGATAAGTTCTGGGAAGCAGCTGTGAGAACCTACAGAAGGGCATCCTGCTGTCCTGCCCTGCTTTGGTGACTATAACATTCCAGACGGTGGACCCTCTGTCCCGTGTGGGTGGCTGAGCATCAAGGTAAAGCAGAGTCCTCACCCATCATGACCTGCACTGGACATGCAATGTGGGAAATAAACCTTAGTTGGTAACCACTGAGAATTCAGGGTTTGTTACTAGCATAGCCCAGTTGTGATATTGTGATTTATAATTACTTATATATTTTTTGTCTCAATTACTGAGACAGAGCTCCTAAAAACCTTAGAATTTCTTTCTTTCTTTAAAAAAAATATTTTTTATTGGTGTGGTGTTTTTTTGAAAGTGAAAGAGGAAGGGAGAGGGAGAGAGAAACATTGATCAGCTCTCTCTTGGACATACTCTGACCTGAGATCGGACAGACACCTGGGTTTGTGCCCTGACCTAGAATCAAACTTAACCCTTTGGTGCACAGGACAACACCAACCAGGGCAAGAATTCCTTAATTGATAAGAGAAAAAGGTGATTGTTATTTTTAAAGCCCTTTTCACCCTGAGCTTATGTTAATGGGGTGGCCTGCAAAGCCTAAAGGATGGGGGCTGCCTGCCAAGGGAACCAACATAGTGATTTGAGCTTCACCTTTCAGACCCACTCCCAGACCTCAGCTAGTGTTCAATTACCAATGGTAATGATTCAATCAACATGCCTAAGAAGGAAATGAAGACTCCATTAAAACCAAAGAAGTCAAGATTTGATGTGAACATGTGAAGATCTGAGGAGTGGAGCACCCAGGAAAGGCATGGAGCTCCACCCCTCTTCCCACATTCCTTCCCTATGCATCTCCCTTTGGCTTTCCCTGAGGAACGTCCTTTGTAATAGCTGGTAGTTTGCTAAGTAAAATGTTGTCCTGAGTTCTGTGAGCAACTCTGGCAAATACATTGAACCTGAGTAGAAAGATGTGGGAATCTCTGAATTGGCACCCAGGAGGTCAGAACCACAGTAATAACCAGGGTTTGTGGTCAGCATCGGAAGGGGGGCAATCTGATGAGGCTGAGATTTGAACCTGTGTGATCTGATGCTGTCTCCAGGTAGAAAGGGTCAGAACGAAATTAAATTGTAGGACACCAGCTGAAGTACAGAAAACCTGAGAACTATTTGGTAAGAAAAACTCACACACGGTGTCACAAGTGGTACTGAGTGCAGTAAACACAGAGCCTGCTCTTCCTTCTCGCCGGTCCATTCTGACATCCCTGAAACTGGTGCCAGACAGGGTGCTAGTCTTCCACACACATGACCACAGCTTAGCCGTCAAGTAGGAGGCAGCAGGGACACTAATCCCACAGCTGGAAAAAGCGGCGGGTTATACAGTAGCAATGCCTCTGAAGACACTGTCACCTGGAAGAACTCGCAGGCACAGCCCTGCAGAATGAAGCGCAGGCTCTCGAGTAGGGCTGGCAAGGGAAGGCCTGCCTGTGAAGAAACAGCCACACTCACTCAGCTGCTCATTGTCTATGTTACACTAGCAAAGCCATAGCAGAGCTTGTATCACCTGTAAAGCCTAAAATACTTACTATTTGGCCTTGCCTTTACAAAGTCAGTTTGGGGAAGAAGTGATTGGAAAGTAACGTTTTCGTAGTGTGTGTTGGTGGCTACTGGATAGGTTTGGAAGAACTGTAGTGCAGTAAACGTAACACAGAGCACTGCTGTGCAGTAAACACAATTTACTGCCACGTGACAAGTAGAGATGAAAGGGAACAGAGTTTAGAATTTCAGGGCCTTGCCATTCTGGAAAAATTAAGTTACTAGACACTCACAAAAAAAGCAGTGTATATAGCAGTTATCTTCTCCTCCCAGCCCCGTATACCTCCATACCTTCTCACCTTCAATCAGCAGACTGAGAGAATGTGATGTCCACCAAATCTGAAGACAAGTTTTAAATGAGCTTGCTTGATTTAGCTTGGTTCTCCTCTCCTATCTTTCACGAGAAAAGGATGAGCCCAATGAAGGCACTCCTTTAGCCTAGACCAGCGATTCACAAATTTTTTCATCTCATGACATATATAACATAGTTGCTAAAATTCTGCAGCACACCAAAAAAATTTATTTTTTGCTGATATGACAAAAATACTATGACAGTCTATGGGAAAAGAGGTCAGTGCCCCTGATAAGTAGTCAGGAACTGCATGTTTTAAACATTTTTCTTGTGCACTGGATGAAAACTGCTGGCCTAAACAATGACACCAGACCATGGAATAAGCCCTGGACCTGTCCCCAGGATCTGGGGCAGTGCCACACAGCCGGCCTGTAGACCTGAGCAAGCTGGAAATGCCGTTTAAGCCACTGATACTTCAATTTGTTTCTGAAGCATCATCCTATATAATAAAAGGCTAATATGCAAATCGACTGAATGGCGGAGTGACCAGTCACGATGAAGCACACTGACCACCAGGGGGCAGATGCTCAGTGCCGGAGCTGTCCCTTGGTGGTCAGTGCGCTCCCACAGGGGGAGTGTCACTCAGCCACTCACGGCTGGGCCCGCGGCTGGCAAGTGCAGTGATGGTGGCGGTAGCCTCTCTCACCTCTGCAGCAGCGCCAAGGATGTCCCATGGGGAGTGGGCCTAAGCCATCAGTCGAACATCCCCCAAGGGCTTCGGACTGCGAGAGAGCACAGGCTGGGCTGAGCCCCCCCCCACCCCCCACCCGACTACATGGATTTCATGCACTGGGCCTCTAGTTTTCATATAATTCTAAAATCTTTCTATTGATGAAACTGCTTCAGACTAGCTAATAGGCCAAAAGCTTCAAGTTAGACATCAAGTCCAGCGAGCTAACAAATGTGCTTAGAAAAGAACTGTCATTAAAATGATAAAAAGAC